GAACATAATTTATTTTGTTTATTTATTTATTTTCATTTTATTTTATTTTAATACTTTATGCACAAGTGTGGGTTGTACAATGGCGGACTTAATGCCACAGTCATTTTCTCCCAGTCTACCTTAGGGTAGTGCTGAAATGTGTGACTAGGTGCACTAGAGATTGATATAAAGTAAGAGAAAATTATTGATAAGTTAGACAGAAACAATGAGGTAAATACATAGATATAAACGTACCAAAAAAAACACATAACAACGAACAAATTTTGGCACAGAGACAGACACTTCTCTGCCAATCTTTCAAAGTATATGCAAAGTTCGATGATAAATGCAACATGCATAAATACGAAATATTTTGAAATGCTCCTTTTTAAATAGGATAGTTAAGCCATGAGTTTGTTTGCCCTTTCTTCTCATAAGGCTCAACCCCTTGGCAACGGGCGGTTGTACATCGGCACATGCATATCATAGATTTTGTATAAGTTTAATTTTTATTAAATTTATTTACTTACTATTTGACAAAACAGAGATTGTTGCTTTTGTGTGTGTGTTGGTCTATGACTTTAAAGTCTACACAAAAGACGACTTCAAACAATTAAAAAAAAAATGAAATAAAGAGAGTTTCAGTTCAGTTTAAGCTTTAAATACCTACCCATTAGCAGAAAATTACCTAAGTTAACATTTGGCAACATTTGTGTTTAAATTTAATATAGCCCGATATATTTTAATTTGTAATATTCATTATAACAATCTAAACTCGCAGGCTAAATAAGCGTTTATGAATCTTACAAACAAAAAACAAGCGAAATTAAAAATATATCACATTTCTACCAACTGTAAGTATGGTATGATAACAAACTGAATCTCAAAGAGATAACGACAAATCTTGAAAGATAAACATATATAATATATATAGGTAGATGTCGCCGGTCCCCATCAGTGGGACGAGATGCTGCGTTCGCGACACGCCCCGTCTTTGAGATCAACCAATCACAGCCCGCCATCTCTGATTACGTACAGTAGGTATGTATTTGTACCTACAGACTGCGTAAATGCTTCAGGGGCGAAGTTTATGTGACTTGGATTCGCAGGGTAGGGTTATTAGGGGTGAGAATATATTAAGTTATATCAAGTATTTTTTAAATTGTTCCGAAGTTACGAAGTATTCTTTTGTTTATAAAATGTTGGTACATATTATGTAACAATACCTTGTGGTTTTGTTTAAATTATTACGTAAGTACCTATGCTTTTTGTATTTTCTTCTGATTAATCCTCCTCCAATTTTCTTCTGATTGATTTCGTTGCGGGTTCCAAGACACTTTAATTTTTCATAGGACTTCGCAAGTTCACGTCCACGAACACACCGAGTCATAACTCAGTGTGTTCGTAGGTCACTGCTTTTGATACTAGTGTACCTACAGGAGTTACTGTGGTGAACGTTTAGGAGGGATTAGTAGCGTTTAGAAAGTACCTATGTTAACACAGTCTTACAAAAAAATTAACATACATGTACTTATTAGTACACCTGTATCTCCGAAAGGGTAGACAGTGACAGAGTCTTAGTTTTTGGTTTGGCCAATTACAATTTAGTTCCAAACACTGACTTCGCTATTACTGCCTAAAAGATACTAAGTTCTTTCACCCTAGAAATGTCCTCGCCTAGTCAGCACAAATAAGGTTAGGTACTAGTAGATAGTAGGTAACACTGAGTAAGAAATGTAAGTTGTGTGATTGTTATAAACTGAGTTGAATTAAATAATATTTTATAATATGTAATATATAAAATTCTCGTGTCGCGGTGTTTGTTACCAAACTCCTCCGAACGGGTGGACCGTTGATTTTTATGAGATTTTGTGTGCATATCGGTTAGTTCTGAGAAACATATATTTTTCATATCCCTAAATGATATGATAAGTACCCCTAAATTTATATTTTTTCATTTCTTTGTCAATTTTCTAGAAATAATGTATATGGCAAAACAACGTTTGTCGGGTCAGCTAGTTAATTTTATAATATTATAAAATATTGTATAATAATTATAATTTTTAAAGTGGTTTATGTACACTTCAAAAATTCAAAGAGTTCGGTACCAATTGATCTGAAATTTTTACGAGATATAGGTACCTACCTAGGTACAACACGCTTCGAAGATAGTTTTCATCTAATTTCTCCAACCAAATGGACTTTAAAAATATCACAAATTATATATTTTACACGTTTAGAATTTCAATGACTTCTTCAATAGCAAATAAAAAAAAGACATCCGTGGAGTTACTGAGTTCTTCTTACCTTTGGCCGTCACCCAAAATCAAAGAAAACTATTGGTGGAAATCGGGAATATCAGTAGCTACGCAGCTTCATAGGTACATCTCTTATAGGAATTTGTGAGCATGATGCGTTGGGCGTTGTGATTGGTGAAGAGTTAATCGAGGGCCAATCGCAACGGCGAAGGTGCTCACCGTGAAGACCGAGTAGATGTAAAATAAACTGGCACTAGGGCCTCTGATGAAAAGTGACTACCGCAGACCCTGAACGCCTGCAATCAGTACTTACTGTATGAGTTCACGAAATTGATTTTATTTTGTAGCATTTTACAGAAAATTTTAAAGGAAGTAAATAAAAGTAAGATGATGTAGGTATCAAATAATTATCACCTGTGTGATAATTGTGCCGAGATCAAAAATCGTGCCGTATTCTTTGGATGAGGAATGAGGGTTGAAGTTGACCTCATCACGACGTCTATCTTCTTAAAATTAAAGTTAAAGCACTGTTACTGTTTTATCTATTGGAATGTGGTAGATAATTCATTTTGCAGATATGTGAATTTATCGCGACCAAATCCTCTACAAATTAGGCTTAAGTACATTCTTCTTATTGTTGTATATTAATTTGTTGTTATTTTTTTCGTGTAGGTATATAGTATAAATAGATAATAATAGAGGCAAAAAGAGTCTAGTACCTATATTCTAAATAGATATTAATATTGCTACCCTTTTTTGTGTTGACCGGAAAACTCTTCGGATCTCTGGCTCCTCGGGGACATAGGCACCAGGAGTATGTGGTGTTTCTACTAAAAACCACCCACCCCGACAGACGATCCCAAGCGCCCTACTCCGGGAAGGACCCGAACCATGTTATTTCAGCCCCCCCCCCCCCCCCCTCCCGCCAGCGGATCGAGGCAGCGCCGCGCAGGCAGGCTTCCCCCCGCCTATCAGCCAGATCGGCTGAAATCGTCACCGTCGTCCTCTACGCTCGGGATAAGCCCTCTCCGGATCCCGATCAGCGGTCTCTTTCTGATTAATGTTCCTACCTAATTATTTAAGTATTTAACATCATGAAGTAACATAACAAAATCTGTTATTTAGAATTAAAAATCAGTTTTCTCTAAGTTAGGCAAAACATTATTATTCCTAAACAATAAATTTAATTGTAAAATGACTAACCTCATTATAGTGATAAGTAAGAAAATTTATCGACGATGATTTAAGTATGGCCATCTATTAATAAGTAACGTAAACATACTTCTTGCTATTGCCCACTACATGGCGCTGCGTAAGTGTGTAGTTAGTGGCAGTCACAGTAGCGTCATCTGTTTGTCTCTTTAAAAAGACCGACTGCTTCCTATTCCACAACAGATGTCAGTTAAAGTAACAACATTCAAAACGGAAAGTTACATCGGTTCATAATATATGTTTGTACTGAAAGAAACGTTTATTTGCACTGAACACAGGTGGTACCAGACTTAACAGTAGTGTATTGTTCGAGCTATATTCTGCCTGCATTCAAACACTAATAATTAACTATTAATACATAACGTCAAGATATTTCCTAATTATGTTAAATAATTATCTTTAACACAATGTCAAGAATTATTATTATTTAGCATATAAATTATTATTATATCACATTATATTGCATTTTACAAATGATCCGATAAATTAGTTTTACACTGCAACGCATGAACTCTTTCATACCGCTAGTTGAAATTATAAATAAACGTGTACACGTATTTTTTTTTTCTGATAGGTAAGGATTAGTAAATTAACTTACTGTAAAAATGGGGGCAATCTTCACGTACAAAAAATTTAATCTGTATCCGTTTACATTTCTAGAAGTGTTTAAACCTAACATGAACGAGTTTCAGAGCCATATTTATTTTCCGTTGTAGGTGAAATAACCTTTGCATTATTATTATATTAGTAGGTAACATTTTTGTAATAAAAATATGTAATTTATTTAAAAGTAATCACCTAATTACATTTTTTTGGTTCGAAATTAGGTATTCAGTATACCTAATTTCGTTCGACTGTTCATACATGTACTTAATAAAATAAAATGAATTTTACCCATGTACCCATGAACTGAAATTGATTTTATGTAAAGCAAAGGTTACCTTGTCATGTCAATAGATTAATACGTACTACACTACCCAGGTGCCACACTGCCTTCCGTTTAGTGGGAGAATAATAAAATACTCCAACGAAAAACCAAAAGAGTGTGAGGTACCTACAGTGGATAATATTCTCATTATAGTTTTTTTTTAAATAGGCCTAACCTGGCTATGTACTTTTCTTAAACTACTAAAGTTCACGAGAAAATAGACTGTGCTAGACCAGCAGACAGCTTTCAGTTAAGTTGAGTTTTATGAATTCTGCCTGAGCGTGACTGTTCGGAACTGAACAAAGGGTTTGACGAAATTGACAAAAACGTGGGCTACCTACTTATCCCAGAGTTAATAACATAAATAAGGACCTATGATACTATGGTATAAAATATATTATACTAAATAGAATATTAATTTCCAACTTACTTGTAGTTTTTATTAAAAAAATTGTGTTTAAAAGATCGCATTTGATCGTTTCAATAAACGGATGCGCTTGTAAATAACTTATATTTATTTCTCGATCCATCAATATTTACGAAGATAAACATTCTTGAATCAAAAATATCAAAAGAAATTGGATGTTTAGGTACTTTATTATTAACATGTAAATACAAATATAATGACCACAGAAAAAGGAATATATCATTGGAAGTTGGGGGATCTTGCTCTTGCCAGAATTTGTAAAAAAGTTTATGCTAATGTGCGTGTCGTGAAAGATGAAAAGGGATTATTCTACGACGACAAAGGTACTTCATTTGACAAAAGCCATAAATTATTGTTCTCAAGTACCTACCTTACCTTATAAAATGGTAGTGTTATCAGTAGTACATACATTCAGTAGTCTATGTAGTCCAGTTATTGATGTGTCTACCTAATTAAGTACGTACACAATACAGAATAAGGCGACGGATGATTCTCTTTTTTTATTGTATTTATTTTTCTCCGCGAAACCAGCTATATAAGCAATGACAGTAATATATATAATTTGTGTTTGTTCTGACGTTGTTGAAGTGAAGTTTATTGCAAGTAGTTAACATTATTTAAAGTTAACCACAGGTTATTCCAAAACTGTAAAATAGGCATATTAGATAGAAGTAGATATAACTTAAATTTAATATGTTAAAGTAAAATATTCAATAATTGTTATTATATAATAGGTGCTTATTAATATCTATGATGTATATAAGAATTAACATTATTTTAGTTCTGGGAATATCAGGCAATCCGGATGGCTCAATAATAGTCACAAAGGAATTATGCTATTATGTAGAGACATGTAATAAAATGAACAGGTTATGGATACCTTATACTAGTATGCACCTGGCTGAAAGATCTAGGCCATTCTATGGGCCTGCTGATAGAGCTCCAAAAGTATCACCTCCTAAAGCTAAGATGGTACCAAGAAAGGTAAGACTGATACCAAATTAGACAATTTTAAATAAGTATTATTATATTTTAAATTTATAAATATTAAAGTTAATTTTTGTTAAGTGTACATCCCTTTTTGATTTAAGATTTTTGTAATATCAGTTTCCAATTTCTAGCAAGCCTTTGTAGTATCAAAATTTAATTAAAGTTTTTTAAATTTAAATATTACTGTACTTTTTGTCGCTGTTCAACTTTACTTCAATGTAGTATACAAGTTAGTTACTTGTACCTTGTTAATGTACATTTATACTTCCTCTGGATACTTGCAACACTAGGTTTTAAAAATGAAAGTTATAACATATTTCTGCACTAGCAATATTGATAACCTTTTGAAGTAGAGTGTTAGGTATTTAAATTTAAACTAATTTCTAAATAGGCTAGTACAGCTTAACTGTACATAGTGAAAATACCATTAAGCTGAAATTTGTATGTTAATTAACAGGCAGTTTTTGTTGCTGTATGGTGTATAAATAAATGAGTTTTAATTGTTTATAAAGAAATAGTTAAAATATTCAGAGAAATAAAAAAATACCTCATAAATTGCTGCTGGATATATTGGGTATCATATTTGCATTTAATTTAATAAACATCTTGGAATATTATATGTAAATTCTGTGTAAAAAGTCTTTGAAGAGTTCATAATACCATTCAGAAGAAATATATTACTTAGTTTTAACCATTGTCATTTACAGAGAAAAATTATAGAAGATCACACTGTACCACTCAACATAAAACTCTCAAAGTCAAAAGAGCCTGATTTAAACACAACATATGACATACGCCACACACCTTTAAAACAAGGTAGATATGAAAATGCCTTTAAGGAATTTATACGTAGAGGCAAAGAGATGCTTTTTGATCAGTACTACACATTGCTGCAATCTAATACTGTCGCTAACAGAGACACATTGGATTACTTAATCAATGTAGATGCTAGTACGGAAGATAAGTTTGAGATGGTAATAAAAGACATAGCATCTGAGAAAGAAATAGAGAACTACTTGCATCAGTGCTGGAGATACAATTTTGTTCATAAACAAACCAGTAACAATTATAACAATAATGACAAGAATGGCTCCGATAGTTCTGTAAGTATTTTTGTTATTTTCTTCAAAATGGAATCTGGTTACAATGCTTGCTATACTGGTGTAATTTTTTTGGACAGTAAATCAATCACTAATCTCCAAAAAATTTTTGGGTTTAATTTTTGCCCCTGCTTTAGGGTTCTGTAATGCAAATAAAGAATTCTTACAGTTTCTTGATGTTTTTTTCTCAACTATCCTGTAGGACGGTAGATAGGTTTTTCAAGATACATTTTGAACAATTGATCACTCCCCTCTTCAACCTAAATTAATTAAATTAAATATAAAATAATATTTCGGACATTTAAATCACAACGCCATCTAGTTTCATACTAAGCAGAGCTTGTAATATGAAAGCTAGATTGACTGATAGAATACTTATATACTTGTTCTTTACTCACTTACTCATAGAATATACCCAAAATACGAAACAAATATTTGCAGATCACACAAACATTTGGTCCGACCCGGGAATCGAACCCGAGACTTCAGCACAGCAGTCGCATACGTTATCACTGCACCACCGAGGCAGTCGCACCTAAGTGTGGTGTGGTGTGTTGGCTTTAAAAGTTTAAAATAATTCATGGCAAAGTTAGGGTTATAGATGGGTACGGATGTCAAAATAATAGCAGTTCTCGGCTCCCTCCTATTTAATTCGCAGATTGGCACACCGTGTCGTTTTAGTCAGTACTATTCTGACACAGCACCCTGCCGCAAAACCCCTTGTGGGGTGACGGCCTGAGGGGGTTTGTAAAAATCAATCTATGTGGCTAATTTCAAACATATAACATAGATAATAGAAGGTTAGACCTGGAAAACATGGTTTCCTGTATTTGCAACAAATTTGGTATTACTTAACTGTCTAATAGGATCATAAAGTTGAGTATGCCAAAGGGTCTGGCCTAAAATGGTCTTGCAAAAAAGGTGGATGTGAGGACGTGTTTTTTAATGAACATTGCGATCTCAAAATTAAACCGATAATATTGTACTTTGTACAAATTAGTATTATGTTTGTTGTTATTTTTCCAGACTTCTACTTCACCAGTGAAGGCACCGATAACAATACACACTTCTTGGTGTTTAGTCTGTGGCAAGGGTGAGAGGCTAAAGGAGTGTCTAAATTGTCCCTCTTCATTTCACATTGCTTGCAGAAGAGAGTGGCTTGTTTCTATATTACGTAAGTATTTTAGTTATGTGTGTGTGTCAGGGAGAGGTTTGGGCTTCGGTAACCTTGTTCGCTCAAAAAGCAATGAAAGAATTGCATAACACCGGTTTCCAGTGAGATTGTGGTATCACTCCGGTTGAGCCTGGCCGAAGCGTGGCTTCGTGTTTTATTTGATTTTTTTCTTTTTTTTTTTTTGCGGCTTGTACAGTATGATGAGTTGACCAGCGACGTGGCGCATCGACTCGGTTAAGAATCATTTAGTAGATACATCAGTTTTGCTTGACCGATAAAGTAGGGTCTCAATTCTGCCATTATAAGGCAATTATATTTTTAATTTGCCAGATATAGCAATATTGTTGATATCACCATTGATGAGCCATTGTCACTACATCGTCAGTCTACTGACAATGTGAATTTATGTTAGTAGAATATCGATATTTTGACCGATGTCACATGCATTTCAATGGCAACTTGTGGCAATGCAAAATTGCAATGGCAAATGCGTGTCAATGGAATTACAGTGGCTTGTACGTTGACATAAAATATCAGAGTTGAGGCCTAGCGCTAGCGCGACAGTACAACGCGAAGTGCAGCGCAATCTTACGATAGGGCTGAAACGGTTTGAACCACGGGCTAACCGAGTCAACTCGGTTCATGCTTAAATCGGTTAGAAAAGTCGAGTCGATACACCACTATGTTATATGTAGGTATTTACTCAGACTATAATGGTTTCTATTGTACATGTGGCTATCAATAAATCAATGCAATAGAGTATTTCAAACAAATTCTTTAATAGTCTGAGGGAGCCTGAAATGATGGAGAAATTGAAAAAACTGACAAAAGCAATATAAATCAATTTAATATGGCATTTTAGATCGCAAGAACCCTCCTAGGAAGCCCGCCAAACCTGTGACTCTGGTAGAAAAAATACTTTCTAGCACTCGTACCATATGCACTGTTAAGAGAGAGAAGGAGAATATGGAACTATGTCCCAGTTGCATGTGGGGACCTAAAGTTGGGTTCGTACATTATGTTTGATTTTATTTTTGTTTTAATACAATAAGATGATAAATTAACATACAATTTCATATTGGTTTTCAAGTGTTAGATGCTAGTGCTCATAATCTTATAAAACATTCGTGCATTCCTCACCTGTCAATGACAGCACGAATGGCGTAGTAGTTTAAGCGGTCACCTCGCCATTTCCTACTGCTCTAAAGTGTTGTGGGTTCGATCCCCACATTTGACATCACTTTGTGTGATCCACAAATTGTTGTTCTGAGTCTGGGTATTCTTTGTGTCCGTTTCATGTATGTTTGTAAAGTCCCCCGCGACACAAGATATATTCCTAGTGCGGAGTTGTCTTTTTTAAAAAGATTTTAAAAAGAAAAGAAACTCTGTGTCACTTTCCAGCCAAATCTGAAAAATAAAATGAATGTATTCGAGATCTTATTTGTTTAAATGCTTGTATGACCTGCAAATATTTGTTTCGGAGTTTGGGTGTTTTCTATGTAAAATAAGTAAGTGTTTACAAAAAAAAAGAGTATATAAGTACCAGCTCTGCTTAGTTTGAAACTAGATGGCGTTGTAACACACAACGCCACCTAGAGTCCCGAAAATATTATCATTATACTTCTATTACCACTTGTACTAGCTACTGTACTTAGTACTTACTTACTAGCCACTTATTTACTGTACTTATTTTTTTGTAAACTTGACTGGTGCTTCAGTTCAAAGGAAGTTTAGACATCATATCAGGTCGTAAAATAACTATTGTATGCTCAAACAAATATTCACATTTGTATACCATAGTGTGGTTAATTTAACTCTATGTGTAATAAATGCAACTAGTATATGGATAGATATGGCGTATCGATTATATGCCGGTATTCATGGTGTATGAATATAATATGTCTATGTATCTATTTAAATATATTTATATATGTATGTATATTTATGTGTTGTGTTGTATGTATGTTTATACATACAAACAATTTATGTATGTAGTGAACGGTGTTTATTTTCATTGATGACATGATATGTAACCTGTTTAGGTTACAAGTTTTCTACACCACCCAAAGGTTGACTGGAAGAGAATTAGGGCATTAAGTCCGCCGAAGTCCATAAAGTTAAATAAATATTAAAAATCGGTTTGTACGTTCCAGTTACGACGACGTGGTGTGGCACAAGCTGGGCCAGTGCGCGTGGTGGCCCGCGCGCGTGCTCACGCCCGGCTCCACGCCGTCCTGCCTGCTCGCCAGGAACCACTCGCCGCATCACTGGCCACTCAGATACTATGGTTCATTTCATTTCATATATTTTCATAATATTTTTATTCATATAATATCATATGTGTGGTTGGGCTCCTGACTAAATGGTAACCAATGGTAGTTTAGCACATAGTAAAGTTAAGCAATCCAAGCCTGGTGCCTTAGATAGCACGTTAAGCGGTCGGTCCCGGTTGCCATACGAACATCTGTGGCAATCGTTCTGGATAGTTGGAGCTCTAAAAAGTCTGACAACAGTGTATCTGTAGAACTTCGATAATGCTCCATGTATTTTTTTTTATGTTAGTGGGGGCAGACGAGCAGACGGGTCACCTGATGGAAAGTGACTATCGCCGCCCATGAACGTCTGCAACTCAGGAGTCACAAACGCGATGCCAGCCTTTTAGGAAGGCTCTTTTCTTGAAGGTTTGAAGGTCGTATCGGTCCGGAAATACCGCAGACGATAACCCGTTCCACAGATTGGTTGTGCGGAGCAAATTCAGCTTCGTTGTAGTAGACTGCACTGTAGTAGACCAACCAAGGTTGGGTAAGGACTCAGAGGATGGAGGATGGATCATGTCTGTAAGAAAACAAGCAAGCCTACATCACACCCACAGTCTGAAGGCTTATTCTAGCACCGCATGTGCTCATTACTTGCTTGAGGCGTCCTGGTACATGCTTATGTCCCTTTCCATAAAGTCACACCCACAGATTGCTGGAAAGCGAGAGAAAAAATGTCACACAAATATGACTAAACATACTTTATTAAGATAGTAAACAATAGTACGGTAATAACGCTTCAGTTGCATTATTACTAAAATGTACTATAACGTTTTATTTAACCAATTGAATGATATACTATCTATGTGCTTATGTGTGCGAGCGTGCATATTTGTGTGCATATGTGTGTTTTTTTAATCTAAAAAGATATAGTTCATAAACAAGTGTTTGTTTATGACTAGATATTAGGTTTTTTTTTATAGTTACGTGTATAACCATAAAAAAATACCTCAGATCTAGTGAACCTATGCAGACATTTCCCCACCACCCAAAGGTAGACTGGGAGAAAATGCCAGTGGCATTAAGTCAGCCATTGTAATTTGTTGATAAAGAATTAAATAAATAAATTATTATTAATGTTTTTGTATTAACAAACTGACTGTCATGTTCTAGGTACCCTAAACCACTCTTGGGGCGATTTGTCCCGCATGTGCCTGTTCCTGCCATCGCATGCCAACAGCCTGCCCAGGGACGAGGAGGTCGCAAGCGCCGTACTCGACGCCTGCGATGATTATATAGCAGTTTATCTTACTTAGACACACTATTATGGGTTTAATCATGTAGGAGTCAATGGTGTTTCATTATCAATAGCTATTTTAGAAGACTACTACTGATAACTCTTTTATCTGCTGTTGCTAAATCAATTTCAAATCACTTAATTATAGTCTGTTAAAAAACTATGCCTAGACACTGCATGGAGAAAATTGAGCTTTTATGTTTTTTTTTCAAACTTACCACCTGATACTCAAAAGCTATTTAATTATAAATAGCTGTTATTTTTTTATTGAAACAACGAACGAAAGCAATTTCCTCAGTTTACCTAACAGATTCATCTTATATTTGAGTGGCATTACATAATGTGTAGTTTTATTCTTATACCTATCCAAATTATGTATACATACGGCAAATAACGCGATCTCAAATCTAGTTGCACTTATCTAGAGACAACCTGTGACTACCTAACTATTTATAAGAGCATTTTTTTTTAATTATGTGTACTTACGGAAAGTCCCTAAGTACACAATTAAAAAAAATTGCTAGTAATATTAGAAGTCTGATAGTCTTTTTATATGCTATTCTACATACAAGGATCACTTTAAGATATCACAGTAGACAAAGTATGGATTCTATAAGACACTCTTAGTGTCTGAACAATATTCTGAGCATCATCATCATCATCATGTAATAGTCCACTGCTGGACATAGGCCTCTCCTTAGAAAGGAGGTTTTGGCCTACTATATATTCTGAGCGTTGATTTGTATCAAAGTCAGTTGATTATAAAAGATATAAGGTACTCCAGGTGACGCTAGTTGATTTTCAGTGCTTTCAAAATAGTTTAGAAAAGCATTGTTTTAAGTTTAGACGAGTTGACCTCTATTTATTTAATATCGTAGTGTAATTATAGAATACCCTAATCATGATAATTATGAAAGCAGATAGCAAATTAAATCACGACTCTTGTCACACAAGTTTTAATCACTACCATATTATCAACTTAAATATTTAATACCTAAGAAACTTAATTGTTTTATTACTCTAATATATTATCAGTTTGTGAGATTTGCCTGATCTCTTCATAAGTGATTGCAATATTTCTTTTCGTAAGGTTCTTACTTTGGCTGTCACTACTGCTTGCTGTTTTTTATGAAAAACCAATATGTTAATAGTTAAATACAGGATATAGAACTGAACTGAATGGCGCTAGTGTCGATAAAGTTATGATGTAATAAATTAATGAACAAAAAAAGAAATAGAATTAAGTTATAATCTGATGTTCTGATAATCAGATCACTTTGTTATCGTAATCCTCCTAAGTATATTAATACTTTTTTTATAATGTTTAACTAGGCAAATGCACTGCCGACACCATAAAACAGTAATTTCGCTTTCCTTGCAACTACGGTAAAATAGTACTTACCGTAACAGACATTTTTCTAATCTAAAGATGGTCCTCCTTACCTTTTACGACTCAACCGAAGTCATACCGCGACCTTATAGAAAACCGGTATTAGGCAATTCTTATGATGCTTTTCACCGAGTTAAGTTATTACAACCCCCCCACTCCCCCCATATTCCCAAACTATGGGGCGGCGGTAGTCACTTTCCATCAGGTGACCCGTATGCTCGTTTGAACTCCTGCCCCCCCCCCTCTCTTCCACAAAAAAAGGCCGGGACCCTCGTGTCTCTTGAGGTCTTGTCGACTTACCATCAAGTGACCCATCTACTCAATTGCCCCCTTTTCCAAAAAAACATTCATTATTGCTCTGACATTTTAAATTACTTTAATCAATATCTTTTATAAGACAACTTTCACGAAGACTGATAAACAACTAATTTATATATATATATAAAATGCTCTCTTATTTTAGCACTTATATACACATTTTTATGCATGTTTACATCTGTTAACAAACATTTTTATAAAATTAACCCATGTCATTTTTTAATATATAATAAGTTTCATATTTTATTAGATTTGATGTCACAGAAAAAAATCATAAAATTTTATCCCTGTTTATTTTTTTTTAATCAAGAGTAATTTTAATGTCTCTGTGCTATGGATATCTAGCAAATTGCTAAGAATAATTTAATTTATTGTTAATTCACTGCATATATGTTCACCTTATGTTAGAAGCTTTAATTAAATAATTAGTTGATTAAGATTTAATATTTTATGAGAAGACTGTCCTCGGTAATATCTTTTGTTAGACATATTTGTTTAAATGTTGAGACATAAAATCGAAATCAATCATTATTATGTATACATACAGAAATTGTTTTACTATCTATATCTCTTGATGCTTACTCTGATTTAAACACATAAAAATGAGACTCATTTTTTTGGTTGGATATACGAGAATCACCAATTTGATTAGCTGATTTAAAAATTAGTATATAAATTAAGCAGTAAGAAGTCTTTCTTATACACTGCTGATCTGTCTAAAGTTCATTCGCGTTAAAAAAATAGTGACGATTCAATTAAGCCGCGCCCCTGACCAATTAGATTCCAAGCTTTCGTACGAAATGATTAGTTCTTAACGCGAATGAACTATAGTGTACAGAGCTTGTCTTTTCGTCAACTCTTATACCACCTTAGTTCACAAAAAATCGATCAATAGGTACTAATTTTGCATGCATCGTAAAATTGGATAAACATGTTGATTTTCAGTTAATATTTGAATTTGATAGTGCTATTTAAGTCTGGCATAACATTTAAAATATGTGTCAAAATTTAAGATTATCACAAAAGATACATGACACAAAAACGTTTAAAAATCGATTAATCAAACTGACAACATGTGTTGATAAAATGTTTACCTTATCTATTGATACAAGTGTACGTTTTTATACTTTATATGTTAAGATATACCTAATAAATTTTATGACAAGACACTTTAATCAATAAACTAATATTACTTAATTCCTTTCATAGTAATTTCCTTTTTACTTACCTACGTAAACGACCAGTGAGTTATGCAGAAAAGATTACATAACGACCTGTGATGCCAAAGGAATGTGCACATGTACAAAAAAAATGTTACACAAATTTTTATATCATCATGTTCCCGCCCTTTTCCCTATTTTTTTTTATGGTTGTGGCAAGGTTGCAAAAAGTTTGACTTTTTTCGCCTGCTTGGCTGCTGCCAAGCCTCCTTGGGAGTGCAGTAGTTTTTTAGGAAGTCTGTAAATTTTGATAAGAAAAACGGATAGGGTGAAAAAGCTGGGTAAAGGATACAGTCGGTCTTAGGTAGTACTTCAAACAGACCCGACCTCTAAGATTTGAATTAAAATAACATGTGTGTGTAATATGTTCATTTATTTCAATACTTAATGCATTTTATACCACAGTAGTCAATATTTACAAGTGCTGATAACTATAAAAAAATATACCATAATTCTTTTTGTACTTAAAAGAATACATTCACACTTACGACTTAATTACTATGTGCACATTTGTTATTCTTGGGTCCATATTGGCTCACATAAAAATCTTATTCCTATATTTAATTTTAATACCGATTTGTGTTTATAATAATCACTCTTCTTTTTTTTTTCTTCATCGTTGTTTGTTCACAAATTGTTTTATTTTTATAAAATTTTCGTACATCTGACACACAACGCCATCTAGTTTCAAACTAATCAGAGAATATTTGCAGATCATACAAACATTTGGCTCGGTCCGGGAATCGAACCCGAGACCTCAGGACAGCAGTAGTCATTTCCTTATAATTTGAAAATATATTATGCTTTTTGAGGAAATGATTTTTTATTTTTATTTTTTTATTTTAATAATTTATTTAGTTCTTTTTTTATAATTTTTATATTTTATTCTTAAATAATTTATTTTTAATTTTTTTAATAAGTTATTTTAATTTATTTTTTCTTTTAATAATTTATTATAATAAAAACAAATAAATCATTTCCTCAGGCAACGTAATATATTTTCAACTACCGATATTTATACCGATGCCAATGGCTACTCGATGGCATCTCAATAGCGTGTCAGTGGTATGACACTGGCTTGGCGTAAACATAAAATAGCAGAATTGAGGCCCGGTTGCCATACGAACATCTGTGTCAATCTTTACGGGTAGTTGGAGCCCTAAAAAGTGCGACAACAGTCTTTCTGCAGAACTTCGATATCGCTGAGTACTTGGGTTGTGGAAGTCTGATGGGAGTCGCTTCGCGTAAAAAAATCGAAGTTCTGCCGTATCATAGTAGACTTAAAGCCGTCTCCAACCTAGTTTAGGAAAAAGGTTTAAAGTAGAGGAATAAATTTAAAAAATATGATTAAGAAGTTAGTCCCGTTCAATTTTGATTGGACGAGTTTTCATAGGTGTACTTTGGATCGATTAAATTTCATTTTCTAAGTCTACATGCAACTGCAACACATGCAAATGATGAGGGGAGAATGCAGCTGAGTGACTGATCGAGATAGAACAATTTCCAAGTAAGTATTTATCTCGCTATAGTAATCTACCTAGGAGATTCGAATAAAGTATTTTGAACTATCACGAAAGACAACGCGACTGATTACACGAGGTAGGTACTTCTGTTTAATCTAAGATAGCATTTATCAACGTACAACAATCAGACCGCTTTTCAACATGAAGCTCCGGCTGTTCATCATTGGATTTCAATATGTAGTGGTATTAGTAGAAATATGAAGTAAGTATCTACTATGAGGCGTTTTAAAGTCTGTTGCTATAAGAAATATTTCAAAGTAGAATTACGAGTAGTTCGGTTAATCCATAGAATATTAGTAAGTTTTACACTACATTTTAATTTTTATTAATATTGAACAACGACATCTAAAAACACTAAGCATCATATCACAAATTATCCCTAAGTTAAACTGGGGATAGGTAGTCTGTGCATCATATCGTATAATATGAGAGTCATGTAAATGTTTTCAAACATTTTTAAACAAAAGTCGCAGACTGGTTATCGGTCCATCTTCCATGATTGATCGATATTGATGTGGCAGTTTACAAATACATATTCAAATTGAGGCACTGTCTATCTCAGTATTTTTACCACGTACCTAGCCATTTATTCTGTAATCTTAACTCAAATTTGCCATCGTTTGATCTGTCTCAGAGTGATGACATAAACCTATATAATAAAATTTGAAGACTGTATAGTATCTACCTACCTAGAATACTATATAAGTAGTATAGTATCTACGATTGGGTCCATATTGGCTCACATAAAAATCTTATTCCTATTTTTTGTTTTAATACCGATTTGTGTTAAGCACTATTCATATTTTTTTTTGCTAATACATATTTAATACTACCAACGGAAGTCATAGTCATAACAGACAGTTTTTTCATTTTTTTAATGCTGTCATTACTAAGAACTTGTTTGAAATCATAATATTGTTTCTCAGAACAGTTTCCTAAATGACAGACAATGGGATTACTAAGAAAATATTTGAACTCATAATATTGTTTTTCACAACGGTAACTATTCAAAATAAGATTTTCTAATGCCGTTAATTATTTAGTGAAAAATATGCAACTCAAGGATAACAATTATGTGTGATGATATCTATTTCTTTCTAGACATAATTTAGAGGTTACTAACAGTTTGTTTCTGTCAGAACGGCAATCGTGCAAACTTTTTCTCTCAGATCAATAAATTACAGAGATAAATGAGTCCAAATGTTAGGTAATTACAAAGAAGCGGGCACTTAGAAATAGACTGCGCTCGTCGTCTACTACATGTAAGTATTCGTTATAAAATATGTTCGGTTCTAGCGCTTCCTTTCTTAAATACATCATTTCACACAGTCGAAAATTTGCCAAGTGTTGCCGTAATTAGCCTTTGTAATGAACTAACTTTTAAACCCCTCTATCTCTGTATTATTGATCCTCCTTTTTCATTGCAGGTACACAACACTATAAACAAAATGAAGGATAACGCTTTAAATAATTTGAAATCTTTATATAATGGATAAATAACACTTATGATTAAGAAATTTTTGAAAACGAATAATAGTATAAACCAGGTGTATGATTACTGATTTTGTGAAGTTATATATTTTTATGAACAGTGATGTAAAATGCTATGAGAAATATTTTCGAAATTCCTATAATAGGACTTAAAAAGTTATGAGAAAAATGCGTACCCCCTGCGATTGTATTTAAGATAAGAATTTCTTAGTTGTTATTAAATATGTTTTCGATATCTTATAAACGACGTCCTAAATAAGGTAGCCTGTAATTTACTAGACAAAAGAATCTCCCATGACGTTGACGTATCAATAATACGTCGGATACCATCAAGTACCTATGAAGGACAGTCTCTTCTATCTTACTATTATCGAAGCACTTCATAGCTATCGATACATCTCAATCGTTCAGCAATACAATAGACGTCTTAGGCTTCAGGTATGTTAGTCGAAGAGTTTATCAGAAAAAGTATTGTCTGATAAACTCGTCGACTAGCAGAAGCTTGACACGTAATGAGTACTAAGCAAGTCAAGATTAGGTAAAAACGTTCGGCTGTCTCTTGTGCGGTACTTTTTGTCATCTTAAGGAATTTTGCATAAATTATAAAAAGAAAAAGGTATTTTTATATAAGATCCATAGACAATGCTTAATAATGTATGTATACAAGACATAACTTTGGCAAATTGAAAATTAATGCTATAATAATTATTTTCAGATATACCTAAGTAAAGTACCTACTAACTCCCGGACCCTGCAAAATTTTATAGGGTTTTTCTGAGAGAAAAAATAGCCTAAGTTACCAAGTGTATTTACAGTTCACCTGCTAGAAAAATATTATAAAAATCATTCCAGCCGGTTTGAAGATTACCCGGAACAAACAGGCAGACGGACAGACAAAAAATATTTAACCTGTCTTTTAGGCATAGGTATCATGCAAAAAACCGTGTAAGCATAAAAAAAACTATGATTTTGACATTACAAACAGACACTTCAATTTTATTTATCTGTATAGATAATATAAATAAGTTCTTAAGATTAAGTAAAGATATATATCACTATAGCTAGCACAATTTACAAGCGTATTTAAAAAAAACATTGTATAATAATATTTTAGTTAAGTCATTATTGTTCTCACAACAAATTGAAACAGAAATGACTCTTGTCATCCATTTTCTTTTAAAAACAAAATCACAAAGGTAATTATATATGTTAGTCTCATTTAAATTGTTATTTGTTCATGTTGCCCGTCATATGAATATGTCGTGGGACTTACTTATTCCAACACTAAATGCTTAATCTGAATCTTTTATATTAAAGAACTTTCGAGACAGAACAGTTGTTTACAATATTGTTGAGGTAGAGAGGGCAGTTATCAGAGGTTATCTAGAAGTATTGGCAAGTACAATTTCTTTCTGAAGTTATTCTTAAATTAATGGTATAGGTAAACCTAACATTTAACACAAATACCTATAAGTTTCATATCCTCATATTTTTTTGCTACCAGAAGGCCAAATCTCGTAATAAATGTTCGGCCACAATTTTATTCAGTTCTGATCAACTCTCGATCTCACAACTGTCAAACTCAAAACTGAAAATACCTTTTATGACAGTTGCGAGATCGAGAGTACCCAGGAACTGGATTTTGACCGAACTTTTTTTACGAGAATTGGCCTTCAGGTCTATGATACTAGGTAGACAGAAGCGCTTTTAATTGCCCACATTTGGACGACTATAATTTTAGTTCTATTTACATAATAGGCGGCATACCTATTACCGATGACCAGACACATATATGTCTAAATATACATACGTATATATTTCTAAATACACACATTCTAGATAAATTACGCTCAGACACAGAACATCATTTGTTATGGTGACCAATCTGATCGAATCGAATCCAAAATCTCTGGTTTAGCAGTCAGGTCAACCAACCAACACGGGTCAATTTATACCGGCCTATGAATGAGAAAGTTTTGTGAAAATGTTTAAAACCTATTTTATGTTGGCATACATTTCTTTCTTTTGAACATAGATCAAAACATTTTTTTCTCCCTCTAAAACATGTACTATAGATTCGTATATTGTCGGAGTGGTACAATCAAATCTTGTAGTCGATGATCTCATGTAAATGCACTCTTAAAAACTACAATAACTCGCAAACTTTATCTATGCAAACTTTTATATCATAAACCATCACATATTTTACCCTCCAATCCTTATCTTATTTTCACTGATACAAGTAACTAGATCTTCTTTGTTAGCACTCGACCACTACGACAGAACAAGTATGTAATACAACTGTTGTTATACCAGTTACGATATTTTGTAACATTTTCTAATCTTTCTTTTACTTCTAAACCATTATTACTAAACTATTAACAATCACAGCAATACCTTAAAATAATCCAATGTACAAAATAGGTCAGAATTTCTATTCACCAGGACCCATGACAAGTGCACTCGCAGCGAAGAACAGGAATACAATACCACCGATTATGGTAACTGTGGACAAGAGAAAATAGGTTTAATTATTATCTTTACGGATATTTTTCACTACATCTCTTGCAATTTTGAAAGTTTCTTTGTATCATTTGTTATGTATGTTTAATGAAAATTTCACACATCTCAGACACGGCCGTCTGATCCTAAACTAGACACATCCTGTACTATGGTGACGAGACTGTTGATAAACATACTAAAACATTTCTAAATACATACATGTTATAGATAAATTACACCCAGCCACAAAAAATGACACACAATTATTTGTCCTGGGTGGGAATCGAACCCACGACCTCCGGTTCACCGGAGCAGTCAGAGTTACTAACCGCGCGAGCATTTTTTGTCATTTTCAAACATGTATGCCCTTTATGTCGATAGTCAATAGTTTTAGATTATTTTCGGGGCTCGTGTGCCTAGGGTACACGAACTCGGAGGAACTGCTCCCCGTGAACCACATGTAGTACACCGGACTGTTATCGTGTTAATTTTTTAGTAATTTATGTTTCTGACATCCTCAATTCATATACTAAAAGATAAAACGAAACAAGTTATACGCACAACCAAATATACTTATTGTATTAGGTCACGTAGTTTAGTAATCACTTAATTACAAAAGTAATTAGAGTTAAGTCATTTTTAAGAGAAATAAGTATCTACGAACGTGGTTATTCTAAGATAGCGCCATTACTTAACGTTGTCATATTGAATACTGGTCTTAGCAAGTTAAGTGTGTAATAAGTTCAATACAAAATTAACTCGGATAATAATGGCATAACCTAACATTAACAACCAAATATAACAATAGAAAACAAAACACTATTTTAAAGTTTTAAGTAAGTTAAGCCGTGCTAATTGTACCTACTGTAATTAACCAGCCGAATCGGTGACGGTCTGTACAAAAAATAAATTAAATATTTATTTACTTACCAGTTCTAACAGAAATTTTAGAGGCGATCAATCTACCGCCTATGACAGCCAGACCGGTACAAAGAGAATGTCCCAAAGAGCCGCCGACGACCACGCCGACTGCATTCTCCGTTGTCGCTAAAACCACAGTAGCCACTTGCGACCTATCTCCCCATTCTGCGAGGAAAGTTAAGGAGGCGGCTTGTAGTAACACCTTTAAGACATCGTTTCGTTTTCGCCTTTTCCTTTCAGCTCGACCTTGTTCTAACATTTCTTCGGATTCTTCTTTGTCTTCCTGAAAAAGTTAGAATTACTTTAAACACGGCCTGTGAGAGTTAAAGGAAATAATTCCTACGAGGCAGAGATTAGTGAAAAGAATACCAAATAAATGTTGTCAACATTCAAGTATTGTACGAAAAAGACATATTATAGCTTGTTGTTTTTTTGTAGTGTAGTTGTAATTTATGAGTAATAATGTGTTTAAACACCACAAGGACATTCAAGAAGTTTCATATAAGGTCAGGATAAAAATAAATTTTAAAGTGTCTCAGACAACATATTGCTTGACAGCTGATTTTCTGCGGTGTATAATTTGCATAACATATTATGATTATATTATTTTTAAATAACAATATAGCTTCAACTAAATTAACATTGTTATGTTAAGTTTCTAAATAATATTTGAATTACTTAGAAACTTGATTGCGAAATATAATATAGTGTCTGGTGCGTCAACAAGTCTATAAGAATTGAATGGGTAGATATGATTGCCTGTTACTGGAAGATTGGTATGTTTATGCGTTCAATAATTAAATGCTCTAACTGATGACTTAAAAAATAGATTTGAAGACATTCTGACGATGGAAATATCATCATGGATAAAACAAAAGTTACGAATGCAGTAAAACAAGAGTTTGGTACCAATGAGGAGCTACCCGCCTGGGCAGCATGTTTTATTAGGCCAAAACTAGACTTGCAACGAATATTCGGTTACTATTCGGTATTCGGCCTATTCGGCTGCTTTTATTATATTCGGCCGAATACCGAATATCTACATATTATTCGGCCGAATACCGAATATTTAAATAATATATTTTGTCATTGAGAAATAATTGGTAAAATGAAAAATTAAAATCGATTGATTACGTATATATTCATATTTTCATTTCTGTTATAATCATTTAAGTAGTCATTGGTGCATAACACAGGTACATAATCATCTTCTGAATTGGAAAAATGGAGGATTCTATGTATTTGAATTAATGTGGTAATCAAAATTTAGAAGGGTAAGGTTCTCATTTCTTTTATAATCATTTATTAAGTAGTCATTGGTACATAAAACAGGTACATAATTTAATTCACGTCTGTACAAGTTTTTGGCGCTAAAATCCAGCCGAATACTTTTGCCTAATATTCGGCTATTCGGTCAGGGGCCTCGCCGAATATTCGGTATTCGGTATACTGCCGAATATACTATTCGTTGCAAGTCTAGCCAAAACCTCTTTTCCAAGGAGAGGCCTATGTCCAGCGGTGGACTATTAAAGGCTTTTGATGATGCTGATGATGATAAGGAGGTGCAGGTACATTTTGGCTTGTGATTGAGTTTTTAAAGGTTGGTACCTATGTATTATTGAAGTTACGGTATGTTATCAATGTTTAATTGTATTAATTCTGTCATCATTATGTATATTATAAACAACAAGAAAAATGTACTCGTTTTTTTTCACAAATCCAAACTTACTAATAAATAAGATTAACAATAGGAAGTTGGCCCGTTTGTTAATATTCAATTATTTTTGTATTGTTTTTTTTTGTTAGTAGTTATGTAGTTGCCGTAAAAGATTATTAATTAAAGAACTCCAAAAAATAAATAAGTAACACTAATAACTGAAATTTTTTGCATATCAAACCGATGTTCGTGCGTTCGATTCCCACCTAGGAAAAATAATTATGTGATGAGAATGATCATTAGTTCTGTGTCTAGGTGTAATTATCCTATAACATGTATGCATTTAGTAATTTGGTTAAGTTTGTTTATCAGCAGTTTTTCGCCGCCGCTGCCGTGTGTGAGATGTGTGTAGTTATTATTATTATCTTGGATTAAACCATTAAATTTTACTGCTGACTGTACAGATAAGTAGGTAATTAATTTATAAACAAGATTATGACTTGCATGCAAAATTTCAATACCTGATTATCTTCACCTCACTAAGACAGTTGTACATTTATTATTTAACAAGTCTCAAGCCTTTTAGTAATTTATTACGAATATAATTATTGCCCTAACCAAAGATAAGAAAGAAAGAACATTTTTATGCAATACCAACTTTTGATTGCGACTTGGTTTAAATTAATAAAGATATTGTCAAGCAATTTAAATATCTCTTAGGATCAGTAGGTAGGTAGGTACTTTCTTGGGTGACATAACTTATGTTTGGAAAATTTTAGGGGTATTAGCTCGGAGACGTTTCATCACCATAAACAAGTGCTGTACCTTGTGCAATTTATACTTAGGATGAGAAAGAAGAGTGAATAACATCCATTGTTATCCACTCTTCACACTATACATACACACATTAGTAAGAACTAATTTATTTGTGCATGTATGAAGATGAGACTTAACAAGGGATATTTATTAGGTACACAGGTCGTAATATTCTAAATATAAATACGTAACGCACTCTTCGAATGTGAAATCAAAAAGAAAACATGACAGTGAATTATTTGTAACATCTTTCCTCTCGATGTCCTGTAATTTGTGTAATTTGTGGGAATGACTTCGTAAAAAGGAACGGAAATGTGTAACAGACCGCCCGGGAAGTGCGCGTTATTTGATTTGACCAATGAGCGCGCGCAATGCTGGATGTCCAGTGTTATGTTGTATAACACTTTGACTACAGTGAGGCTCATTATACATATAAGCAGGCGAGTCTCCTCATAGTGACTACCACCACTTACATATAGACATCTGTAACTCAGGACACAGGGCTAATAATTTATTCACTGAAAGTGTTAAGATTTTATTGGACAGTAACAGAAAAGGTCCCCTTCTATTTATCTAAAAGGAATCTTGTCGCATTGCTGACATACTTTTTTATATTCAATACCTTGGTATACATTTTAGTATGTGCAATCGTAACTGTAAATATCAATAGATAGCGTGAGTAAACACAGAAGCAAGTGATAACAGAAAAATACGGACATTTCACAAAATACAATGAAAATGCAAACATGATTTTGTTTGTTCGTTACTTATTATAAGTTACAATAATTCTAATACTCAAAATATTAAATAACGGGTTACGGGGATTTTCCTTCTCGCGGTTTTTAGTCGGTTCGAGTCGGACATAACCACCGGTCGTCCGGTCCGGTCCGGGTTTCCAAGGGGATTTCTAAACGAAAAAAAAAGCTGGCATATAGATGGGGGAGTACTGCAAAAGCAAACGAGTAATGATTCATGTGCGTCTAGAGTATAAATCCTGTACCGACTGTTACAGCTACAGTTGGACAAAGTACTGTCAAACAAACAGATGAATCATAATATTTATAGCAATTACAAGGAAAGAATGAGAATACTTCAACGTTTAATGGTTAAGGTATTGTGCAGAATTCAGAATTTTTACTATGTCTGAGTAAAATAGAAATAATACCTAATAAAGTTTACTTAAATATTATGCGTAACGTTTGTAGACAGTTGCAAGTAGGACATTATTTGGATTTTAATCTCGAAATGTGCAAGAAGATTAACAATATTCCTTATTCATGAGAATAACGAATATTGTTAATCTTAATCTTAAGTTTTAACTTATATGCTTTAATATCTTAGGATTAGAACAAGTCTGATTTGAGACTACTTATACTATACTTAATACTTTAATCGTCAACCAAAATATTAGATTAACAAACAAAAAAATACAAGTTGGCTAGGCAACGAGTTTTAGGCTAATTCTTCTTTTCTTATTAAGGAAATAACAGCTTTTTTGTCGATATTAGACGTCTATTATTATCACAATAAATTCGACTTAATATACCTTAATGTGGAGGCATATCTTACTGTCAATACAGGCCCGTGTCAGCTAACATCTACGGGACATAATATATTACTTTCAATTTTCTTATTTTTGGTACTTTTACGTGCCTTCCACAGGCAAACAATATAAATTTATGCAGGAAACTATAAAACAGGCCCCGCTGTAAAGATAAAGATACTACAAAATGGCAGACACTTAAATGACTACGAAAATATTACTAGATGCTACGAGTATCAGCGAGGTGTCAAGATATGAGCCTTCACTCATATAAGGTACATTTAATTATACTAAAGTTAAAAGTTTTTGTTGTAAGCATAATTCATGATGATGAGAAATAGAAACATTTCATTTGTTCTCCTAAACGTTCGATTTGAGTTCTCCATAAAAATAATGAAATTAATGATGCATACTTTTTCGCAATGAGTTCAGACATGGAAATTAGAATTGACGTCATACTGTATAATTCAAGTCACTTTTATGCATTTCTTCGAAGAATATTTTAATTAACCGCTCTTGTTTTATGCTTTAAGTTGTTGTACTTTAAATTATTCGTCTCTCCAAGACATAAATAATTAAAAATAAAGGATTGAATACGTACCCTCTCTTCTCTCCTCTTCAGTTCAATTTGTACTTCTTGTAACTCTTCTTGCCCCTCATTAGGATCCATCTTCCACCCATCATACAACATTTTAACACCAAATATAGCAAATAGAACTGCACTAATATAGAATGTATACACTCTGGGTATAACAGTTGCTATCCAGCCAAAACCAGCTGAGAGTACAGTCATGAACACTAAGGCTGAAATTGCGCCAGCAAACACTATAATCCTAGGATGTTTCATCGCCATGATGGCAGCGATGAAGAAAGTCTTATCGCCTAACTCGGAGACGATGACTACGGAGAGGGAAGCCAGGAAACCTTGCCAGAAGCTGCCTTGGCTTGCATGCTGAAAAGAGAGAAAAATTGTCAGCATAAGTTAAATAATAATTATAATTTGAGATCGACCGATGGTCAAGTTATATGTAATGGACTAATAATAGTAGTATAATTAGTTATATAGTATTTTATTGGCCAGTATCAGTTAAAATGTCATTGTAAATGGCTTTCCATTTCCCTACTCTGAAATTGTATATTCTTTTAGATTTTTGCTGCTGTCCTCCGTGCGTAAAATTGTAGTCGTCGCTCTTCATCGCTAGTTGAAGGTAGTAGTTTATATTTAACTAGTTCGCGTGAAATTTGAAAAGCACTGCCTTAGTGTGTTCGATTCCCGGACCGGGCTAAAATTTTATAGCGTTTTTCTAAGAGAAAAAAAAGCCTAAGTGACTCCTTATATAGACAGCTACTACAGCTAGTAGAATATTATCTAAATCAGTTCAGCCGTTTTGTAGATTACTCGGAACAAACAGACAGACAAAAAATATTTAAACTGGTTTTGAGGCATAGGTATCGTACAAATAACCGTGTGAGCATGAAAAAAAAACCCATTATTTTGACATTACAAACAGACACTTCAGTTTTATTTATTTGTACCTATAGATGAAGATCACATAGTTAACATGAAGAATCCACATGAATGAAATATGAAACTTGGCATTCATCAGTACCGGATCCTTATAGATGTATTCGCTCTATGGTGCTAACATCAATCAATCACATACATTACAACACATTCCTAGTGCGGGAGTTGTCTTTAAAAGAAAATTATATAAGTTGCATGTGCAACAAGACATCGTGGACTTATGACAATGAGAATCTTTTATTCCTTTTGTTATTGAGCTGGCAGCCTGGGTCAAACATTGGTTTGCTCCTCGCATTCTAAAACTTGTTTCACCGTACCGGCGAAATAAAAAGTCAAATTTTATAATTATATATAATATAATTATTTATAGTATATTTTATATACATAAGTATCGAACTATAGGATTAGGATAACGGAGAGTGCAAAGCGATGTCCGGGCCTCTAAGAGCGTCGAACTGCGTTGAAGCCGTCACTTTAACACGGAACTTATGCAAAACAATTAAACATTAATTTCTTTAAAAAAATGCAATTAATTGAATTGTTATTGATATTAAAACAAATAACGTTTATTGTGCTTTGCAATTTGAAATTAAAAAAAATGGGTAAAACTAATATGTCGTACCATGAATCAGCATCTGCTGATTTATTGTATCTACCTCTTTTTTCATAACAGCTTAACCAGTAGTTTCTTTATGTCTTCTTTTGATTAATATTTTTTTTACTTCTAACATTATTTCCTAGAGTCCCATGTATGCCACTAATGTACAATAAATTATAAGGTATACAAAATACGCAGATTTTTTTTACAGGTCTGTTAATTGGTTGACATTGGTGTTCAGATTGTAATGATTGTAATAGTAAGCTGTAAAAAAGCCAAGAGGTTTTAAGAATACAAGAACTACTTGAGAGAATCAGTTAAATGATAATTGGTTTACAGACATCGTTTTTATCATAATCACCATTAAAATAAACATGAGATTTCACGAGTCTGCCCAGTAGATGACCTTGAACTCGCAGCGGCGGAGTATCGATCTATTTTTACTGTTGACTAACCTACACGCGGTTGTTTTGGCAACGATGGCAATTTAGTATCTGTTGTAGACTATCATACATCCTGGTAAAAATAATTTCTTTATAACAATATTTTATTACATTGCGTATTCTACATTCGTAGACCGATAATACACTTTCTCATTTTTAATTGAGGTCATTGGATTATGTTTCCATCTTCCATTCTATTTATTATTTATTCATAATTTAAGTTTTTACTCATTTTCCTTCCAGTTATATCCCCTCTTATATATTTAATTCATCTGTCCTTTGGTCGACCTCTTTCCTTGTACTGGTCAAATTTCATCCATAAAGACACGTTTACAGATACTGTTACTGCTGTTTTTTTTTCAATTTTCAATCTTTGTAGATTTTAATTATCGACTGTAAAAGGAGGATTTAAACTGTGAACATTGAGTAGTACGTAAGGAGATTCCTGAGATGGGTATTATTCTCAAAGGGCGGCACCACACTCTTGAGTTGAAGATATCCGTGGGCGGCGGTAGTCATTAGGGATGGAATAAAATCACAATAACATGTGATAAATATTATGATTTAGACATCATATCATCAGACTGTGACTGAATTAAGAAACCACTGCTACTAAATTATTATTATTACGCTAGCGCAAGACTGGCGAAAGGTATATCAAAAAAAAAGGTCGTAGGTAATCTTGGATAACAAGAATTTTGATTGATTTTAATACCATTTATCTTTGTCTACGACGAAATCTCAATCACATGTGAAATCGCTGTGACTAAAACCAACCATTTGATCAAATGAATATTATTTAAAAGTAGCAATAATTTTCATGCCTGGTAGTAGTCACAGGACATGGGACAAAATCTCAGTGCACTGTGATTCATCATTCGATTTTTGCGTACGTAGATTAGAGTTGCTAGGAAGGTATTTAGATTAGACGCTATTTAACTGTAAATTTAATGTATTTTTTAAGTATTATGTAGGCAATGGTACCTATATATATATAATAAAAAAATTACTAGATTTATTGTTAAATAGGCGAAATAGGGTCTTTATGCATCGTCTGAAAACAGCTTATTGGCAACAACGCGTGAGTAAGTAGTAACCCTAACCTACGTACCAAAAAATCGAATGATAAATCACCGGTCATTCACAGTTCACTGTGATTTTGTCCCATCTATAGTAGTTATCTGTAGACCCATTTGTTCTTTTGCCCTTCTATACATTTTTTTTAAATTGTAATACAATATTATATGAGTCGAAATATGTCTTCCTATGATGGTCAATTTTTTTAAAAAGACAACTGCCTCATTAGGAGTATATCCTGTATCGCGGGGGACTTTTCAAACATTCACGAAACGGACACAACGAACACCCAAACTCAGAACAGCAATTTGTGGATCACACAAAGTGTTGTTCCATCTGGGGATCGAACCCACAACACTCAGTGCAGTAGATAGCCGAGTGACGACCGCTTAAACCGCTACGCCAACCATCGAGATTGCGAGCAAAGCGTTAGTTAAAGCAAGTAATTTTTTTTGTTTTCATTTTTAGGGTTCCACATAAACTTTGAACATTATATTAACGTATATGTATATTAACGTGTATATTTATACAGAAGGGAACAAAATACGCCTGTCAATGACTAGCATGTGAAAAATGTAACGAGTTAATACATACATAAACCTGCTTGTCTGTCTGAATCTATTTGACCAATTAAATTGACATTTGGTACAAATACTCGTATATGAATTACTTTTCACAAATAAGGAGGTGTAATGTAAATAAATGAATTTTAAAATGGCAAAAGTCGTCCTTGGCCAAATAAAGAATGACCTCTAATCGAGTAAAGTAACATTGACACTGTTGTAACAATGTATGTGTCCCCATTTTTTTTTGTGGGGTGGTCACCAGTGGGGTGGTTATGTCGGACTCGATCGAACTAAAAACCGCACACCGTCTCCAGATGACCAATGAAGAAGCATTAAATATTTGTCCCCAAATTTTCATTTTTCAAGCAAAAAATACATGTTAATAATGATATTAATTAAAGAAAGGTGAAACATTTAGAAAAAAGGTTATATCACATTTATTATTGAGCTGATCAGTAGCTACAAAATGTGTTTGATAAGCGCTTTAGATTTAATCACTTCCAATATCTGCTATTGTTAAATGTACGAGTAAATGTTCTGTAGCTCTAGCAAAAACTGTCTGAAATAAATAATCTTAAAAAAACTTTCGTTTATCATAACAAAGGCACTTGCTCTTAATTGACGTTTCGATATATTGCATCGTATCGAGCATCTTTATGTTCACTTGCTTCTAAGTCGGTGAAGTTAACAAAAAATGGTAGCGAAATCTTCTCGGTTAGCTTATCAACCACTTTGCGAGTATACACATATCATAATAATAGATCTCATCGCTTCAGCGTGCCTTTAGCTAGGTATTGCCCGATACACGAAAATTTTCACAATGGGGGATGCTACAGGTTGCATCTCCCATTGTGAAAAATGTCTCTTTATCGGAGACTGCAATCTGCCACAAAGTGTGACTGTGCAAGACATGTAAGATATACTTTCGTGTCGAATCTAAAACTCGAAGGAGCCAGAAGGATTATTTATTTAGATGTCTTCTAAAAAGGCTATACGGAACAAAACGGTCTAAGAATTATTTATATCGAAATCATTTGAATCCTCGAAATCTTCAAACATCTAAGATCAAACAAAACATTTGATATTACAACAATATTTAATGCAAAATTTGCAAGAATATAGAGGTTTAATTTAAACAAGGTGGGTTAAAGACACGACGTGAACAGAATCTGGCAATTAAAAAAATTAAGTCATTTGCCATTATTTCAATCGTCGAATATAAAATACTCGTTATTACTTGCCCATCTGCAAGTATAATCATGAAACTAAACCAACAGTGAGAACATTGCTATCTCTAACGCTGTATTATCGTCAAGTAGAATGGTGTTTAGTACAAGGCTAAACTAGTACTAAATTAACGTATTAACTACTTTTAAAATAAAAATAAAGACCTTTTAAGTGACACGCGAATAAAACATCATCAATGCTTATAACCTTCTTCATTTCTAGAAGAATCTTCTAAATCTCTAGTTAATTTTTGATTGAGTTATCGTTTTAACCAATAGTTGTCAAATGTCATGTTAGATTAGTTTTAAATGAATAATACTGAAATATTTATTTATAAACACGTGTCCTAGAATTGAATTTTGTAGTTCTACCTACCTATCACTCTTCAACTATATTTATAGGGTCATCCTATTATAGCGCTTGCATCCTAATGGGATGATCCTATAAATATAGTTGAAGAGATGAGAGGGATTATGATATTTGTTAAAACACTGCCGACTTAAGTATCATGGGGGACACGGCGGTAGAGCATTTGACTGCAAAGTCAGATGGGATTTAAATCCCCTGCAGTCCAAACATTTGTATACTTCCGGGATCTATTCTTATATCGGTCTAGGCGGGCCCTTTTTTCAAAAGCGAGAAAATAAAACAATGAAAAATGTTTGAAATCAGTGATTGTGAAAATCATAAATTCTACTTAAAATTCCAAATACATATACCTCAGATTTAAAGATCGTTCCAAGATATAGAAAGTTGCTAATGACATTTGATCGACTGCAATTGTTTTCTTAAATTACCTATAGCTTAAAACATTCGATCAAGTTCTCTTACAAAAAAATATCTAAATCTATATAGGATAAACCGTTTGGAAGTTATGATTTAACTTTTTGCGTCAACAGTTAAAAATAGATGTGGTTTCAGTGGTAACAAGCAAGTCCATTTAAAGCTTTTTTTAACACATGCCCCGCCGCATGGTAAAAGGGACGCGTGGACGGTGACCACAAAAGCTATCAACATAAATGCGTTATTAAGCCCTATCACTTAGATTAATAAATAATCAAAGCTATCACTCCTATGGAGCTCTAGTGACTATCTTTGGCCAAAGACTCATAACGATAATATAGGAAAACCAAGACAGTAAGTTAAATGTAGACGGGGCTAGAGGTGAGGTAGTGAGTAGGAGGGTAGCATTTGAGCATTTTGAGCATTGACAAATTATTTGATAATAGTATTGTACACGTATCCCCGTAAGAGTTGTAAATAATCATACAAAAACACATTTTTGGAGTAAATAATTTTCGTTACTGTAAATTAGTTAACTGGAATAACTTACACCCATTACGTTTCTTTCATACCATATGTACTCGTATCTATGGCGCGCCAGTTTGACGCGAATCAAATTAGGTGTGTCGTCATAACCTTGCCGAAATTACAAAGCAAACAGAAGCTTTCAGTCTAACGCCCGTTTGTGACGTACGTACGTGAGTTTGAGTCTTGTGACCTTGTTGTCTCAGTGTCTGAAAAAGTTTTATACAAATAATCACTCATCCTTTTTAGTGACATTACTCGTTACTCGCATATACAGTTTTTATCTTCTTTTTAGTTAAGTTTACCACGTTTTAGTCTCCGATTATATTTGATAGTTTATGTAAGACTGCACGGATGGCATAGTGATTTAAGCGGTCGCCTCGCCGCTTGACTGCGCTGAGTGTTGTGGGTTCCAACCCCACATGGGACACTTTGTGTAATCCACAAATCGTTGTTTCATCGTTCAATCCTGCAATTTAGGCAACGAGGGAGATGGATAATAGATAGATCCCTCTATCTCTTTCAAGTCGAGATCTGTGGTTGGCTGGGGAATATGAGGGGGTTAATAAATAGCCAATCACAGCTTAGCTAAACAGAGAGCTAGACAGAGGGAAATATCGGGCATCCATCTCTCTCGTTGCGTGTGTTGCTTCCAGTTACAGGCAGCTGTAGCCGGTTTTCTCTCTATAGTTCAAACCCCTGGGTTGTATATACATATAACAGAGCTGCAGAGTGATTTAAAAAAAAAGAAAAAAATAATAACAACCAGGCCTATCTCTAGCCTATTGGAGGCCCTGGGCAAATTAGCTTAATGGGGCCTCTACGAACTTAGATGAACACTATTTTGTAAGAATAGACAAAAAAAGTATTGTAGTCAGTCATTACAAATGAATTTTTTGAAATAAATATGTTTTTCGGTGAAAAATATTAATTTTCGATTGGTGATTTGGCAGGAATCGGGCCCCTATCGATCGAGAGGCCCTGGGCACGTACCCAAAGTGCCCAGTGAGAAAGAGGAGCCTGATAACAACAAGAAAGTTTTGTTAAACCAAAACCGAAGAATAAATATCGTGCTGAGATATGCGAACATGTGGCTAGTAGGTACGTAGGCTGTTTATTTAAAAAAAAAAGCATTTTTAGCGATCTTTGTGAGGTCGTTCAAATTAGAATCTTAAAAAGTACCACCGTTAAGATTTTTTGGCTCTGGTTTGTGGCTCTGGGATGTAATAAACGATTAATAAATATTGTATCGTTTATTTACACCAGCACCATTTACTATAGATGAACATTGATGATCTGTATGATAGGCGCCGGAGACCTCCGTCTTCATAAGCACAGGCCTGGGGGTAACATGTGAGGCAATCTGTCACCGTAGCAGAAGCAGGCTGGGGTGACGATGCGAAGCGCTGTAGAGCGCGCGCGCTCTTTAGGGAGTAAAATGGGAACACGTAGATGATCCATGGTTCTTACATACGAGGGGATCATCTACAAGTTGTAGATGGTCCGGGGTCCATCGAGCTACCACGGATTTCCTTCTTGGGGTACAGCTAGTTACCCGGTGGGCAAAACTCTGTTACGCATGATTACTAGGAGGGGGAAATTCATAGGATGCGCAAGTTCCATGGCAAAGTTAATCATATTAACGTGCTGTGCGATTATATACAATAACTTTAATACTTTGGTGATTTCAGGATTTTGTAGTAGTAAGAATTAAATAATGGTTCCGTACACACAAACACACATATAGCTTACATTTACATCGATACTGATCATAGCAACTATATAGTTATTTTTTTTATGGTGTAGGCGGCAATCGAGCAGACGGGTCACCTGATGTAAGTGACTAGCACCGTCCAAGGACATATGAAACTCAAGAAACACAAGTGTTACCGTGGTTTGAGTGCCACACGAAGGGGGAAGGGTGTAACTTTCTAGGGTATACCTGGTTCCCCGGCTATTAGTACCCGAGACGGCGTGCGGTTTTAGTCGGTTCGAGTCCGACATGCCACCGACAGGTGGTATCCGAGGGGATTTCCGCACGAAAAAAAAAAGGGGGGGGGGAAGGGTGTAAAGCAGGGATTCCCAAAGTGGGGTTGAAATCGATATCCTAGGGGTCGACATAAACGAAATCTGATTTATGGCGTTCACGAGGTCTAAAAATCGACCCCTATTAACTAACACAATTTCAAACTTTCAAGATACCTGCTGTATTAGTTGTGTTACCAATTTATACCCCCCTAAATTAGACCCCTTTTCTAAAATATATTATCAATTTATTTTAGAAAAGGGGTCTCTTTTCATAATAGTTTGGGAATCACTGGTGGAAAGTAACGAAAGACACGCTTAACATCGGTGTTCTATGAGGCCGCGGTATCACTCCTGTCGACTCTTAACGTATTAGACCCTGTGTCATTATTCAGAGAGATTTTTTTTGCAACACATTCCCGAAAACCACCATACCTTTACTATTTTGTACCCTGTAACGTCAAAAAGATATATTTAGACGCCAGGAACTGTTCCTCTGTTTCTATATCTTTCTGATCGGCAAAGAAAAGAGACGTTACTGTTTCTTTTAAATCTTACATCATGGTCAAGATGTCTTTTTATAGTGGTATAAGAAAGCCTTTGCATGTTGTTTCTCGTATGAGTCATCCTTGTTACTTTTGTTGTAGGAGCGCCACCATTCGACTCATACAAACAATGTTTGCTTTGACGCTAGATTTTAAGTAGCTGTAGACTATGATAGCTAGAGACCGGAGCTATAGTAATTTTAACTAGAAATTTTGTGGATTTAAGTTACTAGTGTCAAATGGTTAACATAGGTATCTAATATCTTTTCTAGGTACATATATGACTCGGACGAGATCTGCCCCCGACAGCAATCATTAATGTCATGTTGGCGGGCGAGAAGAGCAGGGGCGCAGTGGTACCTTTCTGTGAATCGGTAAGGCTCCAGAAAGAGACCGTTAAACGGTATCGGGAGAGGGCTGACCTACGACATAGAGGACGTCGACGGCGATAACCGCCGTCGAGGCAGTCAGAGGCGGGGACCTCTGGAAGCGTGGCAGACTAATTGCAGTGCTAGGTGATAGGATGGCAGCTTGGTCGCAAAAGCGCCATCGGGTCACAACACATTGGTCCCAAAGAAAGGGGAAGCCGCGGGGAAAGGGCCTGGCTGGGCGCGGTGTCGATTCCGGTGAGAATAACATGGTCCGGGTCTTCCGAAAGTAGGGTCTGAGACCGGCCGTCGTCGAATGGTTTTTAGTGGCAACACCACATACTTCTAGTTACCTAGCGTTATGGTAAATAGCTCTCAAGCAGGTATTGGACAATCAAAATGCAAATAAGGTTTGAATGTAACATGTAGAGTCAACATAACATAAAGCTCATTGGTTTTATTATATATTTTTTATTTTTAGATAAAGTGATTTTATATCTTTTTGGCTCTTTTATGAGGATAATAGACGACATTTTCCTCATCAAAGAGGCAGAAGGATCATATGAGAACATAAGTGATAAGTATATTAACGTCTGCCATAAAATTATTTATAAACAAAAAAATAAAATTCACATCTAACAAGAATGGATTTCAAGAAAACCTATCAACTTGTATACCTATACCCTACATAGGTATATTTTTTATTTAATAAATGTATTTACTAAACAATTTACTTTACTTTTACTTTACAAAGCATTAAAGTTACAAAATACATAAGTAGAATATACAGCGATTGAAGTGATATTTGCGCTAACTGATTCGAGTACCAGGGGTTCGGTTCCCATATTTGCAAACACCATTAGTTTTATGTTTGTATGATCCCCGCAGGAATACCCACAGTGCGAGTTGTCTTTTTTTGATCTCGGTAATACAATAGGCAAATAAACCCTTGTACGATTCTTTTTAATGAAGCTATAAGAATAACACAGAATAGTTAACACACCTGAATAAAAAAATTCGTCAACCAGTTTCCAACTTCCGGCGCTACTGTTGATGCGCCCGGTGCACTTGTTGTCGCGATATCCATTATTCCACTCATATTCATACTTTTGCACCAAGTCGCAAAAAAAACGAAGACACTTTTCGCTAAAAACACGAACTGTCACATCACTTTCGTAAACCTTTTAAATACTCAATTTATGCACTTTTATAACAATAATTCTTATATAATAAAGAAAATCATCACAGTCGGCCCGAAAAGCACAACAAATATATCACACGACCGCACGGCTCGTGCGTCGTGCGCCGACTAAAGAAGAAAACATTTGGAGGAAAATCTACACTATGTACCTAAGTAAACTAACAAGGTAAGCACGTAGATAATGGTGTAAAAGTATTGAACCATAGCCAAGATTACTGTTTTTAAGGACTCAACGTCAATGTGAAAGTTTGTCAATGGCTGGAAAAAATAATGCGCTTTTTTATATTTTCGTTTGAGTATTTTCGGGCCATTGACGTCACTACGCCTATTAGGTGGATGCTCTCAAAAAATACATTCTAAAAAGAACAATAAAATAAACCTATAAATGTCTACGAGTACATAATTTTTCATGCCTTTGTCACTTATAAAAAATTTAAATGTTTCAAACCATCAGATTTAAAATACCTTTCAAAATTAGTGTCAGATTTTGGCTAGTATGATAGGAGTAGTGAGTAAGGAGCTAAACCATCTGTATAAAATCTAATACTATCTATCTATCGGTATTTCGAAATGGCGATTTTGCAGTTTGGATTTTCGACAATTCGCTACCAGCTTGTCACTTTAAAATCGTCAGACCTTTTAATGGGAGCATTTTTGGCGTCCAAATAACATATCCCCAAAATATCTGATGAGCCTGAATATTATTTTTATTCGATTTTCTCCCCTTACATTTTTGAAAACCTGTAGAAGCTTTTCCCACCGCTAAATATGGAAACATTTTATAACTTTTATTCATTCTATTACCTACTCTTCAAATGCAATAGGACCCCATGACTCTCGAGTAAATCCCCTATTACATTCAGTCAAAAAAGTATCGGGAATGGATGATTTGTTTATGGTTACAAATTTAAATTTTTGTTTCTTTTGGTGTTGTTAGATTGGCACAACTGTTTTCCATTTTGGCGCGGAGTTTGAATTGCATCTGTTATTTATACTATTAAATACAGTGCTGTTTTTAGTTATACCATATCTAGTGTGTATTGCGAATTTCATAATGGACAAAAACATCGAACAAAGTGTCTTAAATTTTGCATCGCCAATGGAATTTCGTGTTCGGAGTCACTGAAAATGTTACAGAAGGCTTACGGTGAATCGACTTTATCAAAAACACGTGCTTATGAGTAGTACAAAGCGTTCAAACGCGGTCGAAATGTGATGGCAGATTTGCCTCGCTCTGGTAGGCCATCAACGTTTGCAACTGAAGTTAACATCGCAAAAGTGAAGGAAATAGTGACTGAAAATCCTCATTCAACTTTGAGAGAGATAGCCGCCGAACTTTCTGTATCTCACGAGTTGATCTGTACCATTTTAACTAATCATTTGGGTATGAAACATGTTACCGCTCGCCTAGTCCCAAAAGACCTGCATTTTCTCCAAAGACTCAATCGCATGAGAGTAGCTGAGAACATACTAGAACGAGTCAATTCCGACCCAACATTCATGAAACGCATTGTTACTGGTGACGAGACCTGGGTTTACGAGTTTGACATGCAAACTAGTCAACACGCTTCGGAGTAGCGCCTTCCAACGAAACGAAACCGAAAAAACCACGCCAAAGTCGATCAAAAAACAAAGTTATGTTGACTGTTTTCTTTGACTATCATATTTGGTTTACGCAAATATGATCATGTGACTCAATTTCGTAAAGTACTCAAGTGGCCTCCCAATCTGACTTCGAGGGGATACACATATTATTTCTATACTTTATAGTATTTTATTCAATCCATTAACTCCTCCTTACTTAAAGGAACGTTTTGTGTTCCTCAGTGACACACATCTGAGATCCTTAAGGTCATTGGAATCTTTCGAGCTAATGGTACCAACTACTAAACCACACTACCATATTCTATGACAAATCTTTCACGGTGCAGGCTGTCAGATTATGGAACGCCTTGCCGATATCTATAAGAAGTGCCCGAACACTGACGGCATTTAAAAATATGGTTAAAGTTCACTACTTGAGTTCATAGTTAATAGTACTCTTTGCTTCCAATAACTGTACATGACTAATGTTTTCATGGTTATCAATATGAATTGTTTATACTAATATTGTATTTTATATATACATATATATATATATATATGTGTATTTGTATGGATGTGTATGTATAATTATATAATGTATATTTATTTAATTTTACACTACGTTAGCTTCAATACACCTAGACTACCCATTGTTTCTTCTTATCTACTGTCGATTTGTCCATCCAAAGGTTGCCTGTAAGAGATTGATATCAGTATTTAATATGTATGTGTGTGATCTAGAGATGTCTATGAGTATTTATTTAATTACGATTTCAATGAGTACTACTAATAGTTATTTTTAACCATTATTTCAAACATGTAAAATAATTATAATTCGTTAGAAAAGCGTACGTTAAGAATAGAACTCGATGACAAATAATAGATCTGCATGAACTTTGTTTAGAGCTTGTTTGTTATGAAACTTAAAAACTCATGGTTACACTTCCCATGTATGGATAGCAGGAAAGGAAAATACTAAATACAAAGTAGACTACACTTAATAATGGGGGAATAGGTCACACATCAAATATATCACTCAGAAATAAATCTACATAGAAACGAAGTATGCTTCGTATTTGTGTACGTTTTCGGTGTGTTAAGCAACTCTCGTTACTGACGGTACATATACGTAATCGTCATCTGTTTCTTTAACACATTACTAAAATTAGACCGACTATTTCTATAATAGCAAACAAGATCAGGGTAACCTATTTCTTTGATCTTTCGTTTCAAATTAAGAGCTCTCTAAAACAGACTACTGACTAAACCCTCGGTTATATCATCTTAGTTTTTTTTTTGGTTAGATAAAAGATTTTGGGAAAGTAGTGACGATATATCAAAAAAGCTTTTAATGTTAAAACTGCCATAATTTTAATAGCTTTAACTTAGAACTTATTTCATTTTACGAAGTGCACGGTTTATTTGAAGTTTTTGAAGCGCTCATAAAATACATCATTGCCCAGCTGACCGAGTCGCACATTTAGCTGGACAAGTCTAACCCATCATGTACTTGTAGCTTCATGTTCTTCTGAGGTGCGGAGTGGACCTTGCTTGGTATAATTAAAAAAATATAACTACATTATTTACACATTTTATTCATCGTTTTTACAAAATAATACTTTTTTTTCAGCACATCAGAAACAATATGTATTTTATTTTCAAATAACTTCTTTGTACTTATAAAATAACACATAATTTAAAATAATGTGGGTAAACAGAATAGGTAAATTACAACAAAAATGACAGTAAAGTGACTTGTAACGATTATGTATTGTGTTTAACAATACAGCATTATTATAAGACGTGTTGTACGTTGTTTTGGCAATCATATTATAAATACTGGGCAAAAAATTACCTTCTGTGAATTGAATTATTTATTTCATTATTTCAAAATTAATTATTTTTTAACATTAACATCCTCTTGTTTAAAAACATGACCGGCTAATTTATCTTTTTAATTATTTCTATTACAAAAGTTTACAAAATTCGTGATTTATTTTTTTCTCTTTTGTGAAAATACAAATAAGCTTCTATATTTTTTAAATCAGTTATTAATTTATTCCTAATGCAGCGTTTTTTATTTATTATACGGAGGAGGTAGAAAGAATATGAATAATCACACGTTTGTAATTAATAATATAGGCCTAATACAGTGGTACAAATATTACGCTGCTAAATGCTCTTATAAAAAAGCTTTGTGTCTGTAAATAGCTGATGGACGTCATAACTATTTCTCATTTGTTGAGTGAAAACTTGCAAACTCGTACTGTGCCTTGAAGGCCAATGTTATTGAATCTGTGGTATTCCTTCGTTTAACGCCATCACTAAGGTAGTAGTGATTCATTTAGTTAATATATTCCATCTATCTGTGCCATCTATCCTACTGAACCAGTAAGAATTGTTTACTGGATCTGACAACACTGTTCCCCCGTACCGGAGGCAATCCGACGGGGAGGATTAAAGACGTATGAACAAATGTTTTTGAACTTAAACTGACACATTATTTCAAACATCTTTACTGTATTTATTTGATCTTTTGTTTAGTTTTTAATTCCCAATCTTACACCTCTATAGTAACTGTGTGTAATATCTATAAACAGTATTATATTATTAAAAAAATATTATCATATATGTACATAATTATTTATTTTACATTCACATAAAAGACTGACGTGTAATATAACAACAAAGAAAGAGATTTAATTTTTCTTTTGAAGATACTTAAAATGTGTCCAAAAATATTAGGTTACAATAATAGAGTACAACTTATAAACAGCTAGCAAAAAGATTACTTTCCGTGCAGTCATAGTAATTCAGTTTACACAAAAAGTACAAATTTTTATGTTGTAGAAAATTAAGAACATGTTTTTTTTTAATACAAGAATTTTAAATTAGGCTTTTTAAATGCCTTTAATGATTACATACAATGGAGTACTGCGATAATAAAAATAACTAGTATATAAACATCACAGATAATTATAAAAATAATTGTAACAATTTTACTACACTTTTGGTGCTGAAGAATTACTACAATTAGTAAATGTACAATTACTGTAATTGTACATTTACTAATTATAATATCAACTTATTAAAGTTAAAGGAATGGTAATAAAGAATGTTTGGGAAATTTTCATCAGAAAAACAAAATAATTTTCCAGTAATATTGTCAAAGTTTGTCAAAGGGAATGTTTGTCTAGCGGTTAGTGATATGACTGCTCAGTCGGAGGTCGTGGGTTTGATTCCCACTCAAGACAAATATTTATGTGATGACCATGATCAGATTAGCGTGTATGAAATGTGTGAGGTTATTATTACCTATTATTACGACTGCTTCGGTGGTGCAGTGGTGGCGTATTGCCACTGCTGTGCTGAGGGTCTCAGGTACGAATACTGGGTCGAACCAAATGTTTGTATGATTTGTCTCAGAGTTTGGGTGTTTTCTATATATAATATGTACATATGTATTTACAAAACAGTATATATGTATTCTATCAGTCAATCTAACTTTCATAGTACAAGCTCTGCTCATTTTGAAACTAGATGGCGTTGTGTATTAGATGTCCGAGCGGGGTACCTGTTATAATAATTTAAAAGGTTAAATGAATTAGTCTTACATTTGTTTAACCGAAATCAATCAATAACATTATTTGAAACTGTGACTTTTTCTCATACGAATTAGAAACAATTGCATTCGGCTAGCATTACGCCATTGGACTTACTCTTCTGACTCGTGTCAATTTTTGACTCGAAATTATCGAAAACTATCGTTAATTCTAATGTGAATTCTTTGTACATCGCTAGATTTAATGAACATCGTGTTTTGTCGTCAACTGTTAGATTTTGACAAAAAAGTTTAACTTTCGATGGTCAATTTGTCAGACAGTTACACTTTATCACTTTCTATGAAGTTTGTCATTAAATTACTGGCAGTCAGTGACATGACTTAAAAAATATATGTATATAATAACTTTGTAAGTGCCCAGACTTGATAGTAGGTTGTACACCATGACAACAATAAAAATTATTTTTGTTTTCACAAAAAAAACCGCGAAATTATTGAATTGTCACCTGGCCATTAATGCTTAAAACCATCGTTCCATACAATTGACTGATCTATTGTTTTGACAATACATTTTGACGTTAGTCGTACCGACTATATAAACGATAGCCATGGCCTTTATGGTACACTAATGACCAAAGTATTTAATGGACAACACTATCTTAATGATACTGAACTCTTACTTTAAAGGTATTCAATGATAAGAAAGATGATACTATTGTCTATTCGCGTGGAGAAAATAGTGACGCATGGATCAAGGCCCGCTCAAGCTTTCGTACGAAATGATAATTTCTTGAAACCTGATTGGCCTGGGGGCAAGGCTTAATCGATGCGTCACTATTTTTTAACGCGAATAGACTATAGATAACTAGCTTAGGTCCCTAACGATTTCTGCAAAAGCATTAATGAAGTCATGATATGAATGATCATAAGCACAAAATACAAAAGGCGATACATGATTTTCATAAAATAGTATATAACAAAACTGTGACTTATTAAATGCACTAAAGGTTTACCGCAAAATGATTATATTTATTGCTTCACCACGTCGACTTCTTAATTTAGCGACTAACTCTAATTCTTGTCCAGAGCGTCAAGCCGTTAGAATACTAACAGTACTCACTCTGTTCCGAGTGAATTATAATGGAATATCAACCGACTATCTACTTAGACATAATAATTTTTTTCAACTTAAATATGTTTACCTACTTATCGTCGACTTACCGAACCGTACTGAAAATATTTTTTGTATTTATAGGATCTTAATTTCTGGGAATGGAAAATTCAGTTATTTCTATGGCTATTAGTATCCGACTCACCGCCATCAACAACATAATTGAATCATCCCTATAAACGTCAAAACCGATCAAACAGTCACAGTCACACAGTCTAAAACAGATATAAAACTAAAATCTTATAATAACCTAAGTTTCTAAATAGAATTTTTATACAAAAGAAAATTACTGATGGTTATTTATACATTATTCAAGAAAAAATTGCTTCGCATTTAGGATGCATTTCAAATTTATTTAGTACAAAAGAAAGGGTAATTAAAATTACATTAAATCTGTGCACGTCATTTTGAGAATATATTAGTTGTATCATTTGAACCAGTGTTGTCCTCCTGTTTAGTCAAAACGATCCGAAAGAAGTATTTAATATTTATTATAATTTTTAAGGGTAAATTTATCAAGCGATTTGTCTAATACCAGAAGTGAGCGTAGCTACAATTACACTATCATACATACATATTGTCACTTACACGTTAAGTATAAAATACAGTTCGTTGATAATTTATCAGCAAATACATTTATTGGGTTTTCGACCCAAAACCTGCTAATTACAATAATATACGTACATATTATTTCTTACACGTTAAGTAGAGTCGTTGTTACTATTTATCAGAAAATATTTGAACATATCTACTTAGTAATTAAATTTTCTACCAAAACTTCGCCAATGAAGTTTAGAATAAAGAAGCTAATTTTTTTTATTGAGTCTATTAGGGCTATGAGCACCATATTGTGTCTGAAACCTTTATAATTACTTTATTTTCACTTTTGTAGAAAACATGTTGTTGGTAAAAATAATTATTGCATGACGTAACATGAGATTCTTGAACACATATATTTTTTGTAAGAAAAAGTAATATTAAAATCATCGTAAGAATTTAAATTCGGCCACTTTTCTATAATCTGAAATATATCTAATATATTTCAGAATATACCCTTTTTGATTAAAAGATATACTCATTTATTATCTTGGATAAACAAAACCTGGTTCAGATTCTTTTGTTCTTATTCTCCAGGGCCAATAACCAATGCGCTGACAGCAAAGAACAGGAACACTAGACCACCGATAATGGTAACTGAAAAAACCAAAAACACGATTTATATTAGTTTTTCATGCTAATACAACAAGGACACAGTAAAAGGGGGCTGATGAACTCTTGGAGAAGTACCTGGGTTGATACATATTTGTGATGCCCCAACTATATCGTGTGAAAATGTCTAAATCGGACACGGTTCGTTTTAACTCATTAGTATTTTAAAATAAACTTAAATTTTGTTTGAAAAGTAAGTAACATCCAAGTTATTTATAGTATAGTTATCGTGGGGGAGCTATGCTGCGGCACATATAGACCGGCTCGACTTGTGTGAATTCACGGCCTCACAAAAACTGTTAAACATTTTTTCGTTGTTTTTCGCTGAGTGATTGAGGAGACCGGAGTCCAAGCTAGCGGAAACGCACTTGAACTCGTAAGATGCACATGTCCTCATCAAATGACCCATCTGCTCAATTATTACTTTTGAAATAAAACTTAAAAAATAATATCAATATTAACTTACCAGTTCTAACAGAAATTTTTGAAGCGACCATTCTGCCGCCTATCACAGCTAAACCAGTACAAAGAGCGTGGCCCAAAGACCCACCAATAATCACACCGATTGGGTGTTCTCTTGTCGCTAAAACAACTGTTGCCAGCTGAGACCTATCACCCCATTCTGCGAGGAAGGTTAGCGAAGCAGCCTGGAGTAATACTCTGATGACGGCGTTCCGTTTCCGCCGTCTGTTTTCTGCTTGACCCAGTTCTAACATATCCAGGGTTTCTTCTTTTTCTTCCTGGAAAATTTAATATCGTTTAGTAGATAAATATTTTTAAAAAGTTTGATATCCAGATGTGATGCTAAAATAACGACATGAATAAAACTAATAAATAAAATACTGCTGAATTTACGAGATAAACAAGAAAGTGCAATTACATACATGTTCTGATTTAATTATTTTTTGATTGAAGAATTTTTCAATTATAACGCAAATTAATGTAAATTATTTATTGTGAAGTAGAATATTTAAGATATAATTATATTATTATAGTAACGAAATAAAATTTTGTTCTAACTCACGTCAATTTACGACGAAAAGGCATACGTGTTAATATAATAATATAAAATCTACTACCTTTAAACGAGTCATTCTTGTATAAATGTAGATATATATATATATATATATACATTTTTACAAGAAGGGCATCAATAAACTGCCAATGCGTTGACAAAGATGCGTCGATTGCATAGGTGATTACTTCGAATAACAGAAATAAAAAAGTTTGAAAAAATAAGTACTTTCACTTATTGCATACAAAACGGCAATTTCATAGGCACCTATTATATCATGCCAATAATGCAATGCGAATGCTATGTGGTAACGAAAGAAAGTAGGCATATTTATTAACCTTTATCGTAAGAAAATTTGATACAACTTAATATTTCATGTCACTGAATTAAGAGTTCGGTATTTAAATATGACGATCAAGCTGATATGATTAAAGGATCAATGCTACCTTCACAGACTTACCAAACTATCTTTTGCTGCTCTTTTAAATATAATGTAGCGTACTTTTGTAGAGATTTTATTAAAACATTATTTTTATTCATTATGCAATATTGCCAGTGTAAAAATGGATACCAATAAATATGCTGCATATTGCACAGCTCTAGATACAAACTAGGTATAAATAATACAAATGATAACTTATATCTTTACATTAATATGCATTTATTATTAAATTTATGTGGTATATTTGAGCTACCTAGAAAAATCTAACCAATCTATTACGAAACAACAATGACCTTGTGTTGTTATGCAGATCGGTAGAAGTTGATTGAAAACCGAATCCGTACCGATTTAAATATTACTCTCACTTATCCATACATAATTGAACTCAAGGAATCGTTTTTCTAAAATAATATTTAAAAAAAAGGTGCCTACTTGTGACATTACTTACTTTGTATTATTTCTTTGTTATATTTTCTTGTAATAAAGCAAAATTTGTGAATGCGACTATAGAATGAAGATTAAACTCTCATAGTCACACTTTATCTGTTAGACTGCTTTTGGTCAAATTTGTCATGTAAAACAGGCCGAGCCTACAATATTGTCTTTTAAGGTAAAAACGATAAATAGACAACTGAGACAACTCAGATTCGTTATTTGAAAAAATATATAGATATAATATGCGTATGCTTTTGTTACAACTACATGCATTCCGTATTCAAACTCTTTGAGCAAGAATAAACCATTAATTAGAGATAGAATAACGAGATGGAGAGGAAACTTAATTAATATTATTGTAAACTTAATTAAAGACTAAGAATTTCATAGTTTTTAATCAGTCATTAATTTGATTTGATTTGAAATATATCGCTAACATTTATTTTCTCGGGTCGGGTAAAATTTATTTAATTATTTAAATTATTTAAATTTATTAGTAGCAGACGAAGCTGCGCGGTTAAGCTAGTATATGATATACGCGATTTCTGTGTTTAAACGTAATGCATTTCGGTGCCGCGTTGTCTGAATGTTAAGTCAGAATTAGCTGACTTGTTAAACTAATAAATCAGATTTTTTTATAACAACACTGTTTTAAAATTAAGTTACAGTAGATAAAATTTGTGATGGGCAAGATGACTAATGAGGTGATATTTAATTTAAACATCAACTTTATACTCATGCACAAAGGTTTACTGCACTACTGATATCAGTTACGAGTAGACGAAGACACAAGTCAATATACGCCGTCTAGATATTTGAAGATATAAAGCGATAAATCTTGTCCAGAAAAATAATTTATTTTTCAGTGTAAATCATAATATCATGATTATTATAAGAATTTGCGATATTCAGTTAGTTTCGTTTTAGTTTTAATTGCTTGTTGTTAAATGAAATTCAAATATTCTAAAAAAATAAGATCTGATAGATATTTCTGATGTTATTTTAAACCTGTGTGGAATAAACTTCCACACAGGTTTCTTGTGTGTCCACACCACATGTGTGGACACACAAGAAACCTGTGTGTCCAAACATTTAAAAATAAACTATGTTTAAAGCAACTTTTAAAAATATTTTATTTTCTGGTCATGAATATATAATAAAAAGTATGAATGTCTTAACACATACTGGCATTACTCGTACACAATCAGCAATGTCAACATTGAAAGTAAAACGGCATGGCATAACAACATGTCTAATCAAATGCTGAATTCCTTTAAATAGTAAGTTTACATTGTGTCTAACAAAGCCATTAAATAGTTCTCTCCAAATGAATACGTGAATGGTTTGTGCGTAAAAACGTAAAAAAGCTAGGCTAAACGAAAAAATAACTAAGGTGTCATTCGTACTGCCAGGCATAATGACGTAAGATCACCCTCAGCGGTTGCTCTTGCGCTTGCGACGAGGGGCCTGCTTGAGGCTCCTCTGTCTCGGGGGCATTCAGTTTTGGAGACTCGAGTGGGGATTTCGAAGATCCAGGACTTAGAGATGGTGCAGTCACAACCGACGTCGGAGACTGCGGCTCCGATTTTATTGACGCCTGTGCAGTGTTATTATTTTTACTAAAAACAGAAACGTTGGACTCTCCTATTTAAATTTTACCTGTACGTAGATTTTTCAACTGATAATACCTATGTTTATATCAAAATCCCCTTCCCCTTTAATGCTTATCAGTAGAACAAAGTGAAAAATAAATGTATTTAAAAGGAATTCAACATTTGTAATAAAAGTAGGATCTACAAACACTGTAATTTTTATCAAAAACTATGCTATCTAAACATATACTATTTGAAATAAGACTTGAAAGATTGGACTTAACTGATGATTTTAATAACAGCGCCGTGTCACAAACCTAATAAGATAATTATATAACCTAGATAAGTTTTATCAAAACAAATAACTATAAAAAAGACTCAAGATGATTGTTTTAACAATGAATTAATAAATTATATTTACACAGACTACATGTGCTTTGTCTGTTTGTAAATATCATTTAATCGGTCACATTTTATGTCAAATAAATATTAAATTATAAGTATACATACTGAGATTAATGTAAAGCAACAGAAGAAACTGAAAAATCCAAACAGTGCAGGCAATTAAACAAAAACTAAGTTTGGCTATGGGACTGTTACCTTCGTGTAAATAGACCAAGAAAATGTAATAATAATTCGAGAAATATGTATGCGATTATGTATCTAAAAGTACTAGTAGCTGATGTGATGTCAAGAATAACTGTAGTATCCCATACTGTTGCATATTTCGTAATCTAAAATTGAAAAACCGAGAGGTTGATGAAAGTTTTAACAAATGTAATTAAAACGATAGAATAGGAAATGGAGAGCCAATCATACACCCAAATATGTATATGTCACTAATATGGGACGACGATGAAAAATCGAGAAACATGGTATCGAGAATGGTACTCGTAAGTTTCTGATGATATAATATGATAAAGACTTCACACGAGAAGGTCTAGCAATTCTAATTTATCAGAATTGCAAACAAAATAAGGACTAAAACTTGAAGTAATTACCAAACAGAAGGCTAGACGAAAAATTAAATAAACTACAGTACCCGAAAAAAAAACAAAGTGTATTGCATCAGGGTTTTAAACTGTCTCCAATTTTTAATATCTACACAGCAGAGATTTATGGTTGACAGTGAACGGACATGGGAATTGTGGATAATAGTATTAAAAATACATATTTTTTTAATACAGCTTTCATCTCTGACAATTCGGTAACACTTCTTCTTCTTAATAACAAAGAAAAAGAAATGTGAAGTAATGAAAGTTAACGTAAGAATCTCAACATGGTGTTGAGATATCCTGTTTCCGTAGAGATTTATCACATGTGTGACCAAATGTGACTAGAATGGACAAGGTGAGGTATGACCACATTAGAGGAAACCTGAAAGTAAAAGGTTACCTTGAACATGTGATGTGTAGAGATGAGGACAATGTAGTGAAGAGACTTTTAAGTATGGAAGTTGACGGATCTACGAGTAGAGGACGCCCAAAAAAAGATGGATGGCTGAAATGAGGATATGGCTTCTGACGAGTTATAAAAGAGAAGAAGCAAACTCACTGCGCCGACCCCAAATAAATTTGGGAAAAAGCTAAGATGATGATCGTAGATATTTATCACATAACTCTCAGAGCACACAAAAGAGGAATTCATTTTCTTTTGATTAAATACCTATAAGACTTTAAAAAAATACGATAGGTACTCATTTTGATAGATACGGTTTTAAAAATATTTTCTTGTGACATTGAAATACTGAAGTGACTAAATTGACATTTTGAATATATATTATATATACAGTAGAAAAACAAACACAAAAACAGAATAGTGTATTGTTTGTCTAATGACTCGTAATAAATAATTGTTAAAAAAAACAAAAGAACTTCTGCTGCTAACGAATTATAATTTTGTCGAAAAAGGGGAAGGAGATTTGCACTTTAAAAACGATGTAACCAATTCCAGAATAGAACTATTAATCAAACTGAAACCAGCATTAAACTTAGTGTTTTCGAGTCTTAATCAATTTTATTTCTACACATAAAAATGCATACCTGATCTTCTCTCCTCTTCAATTCACTCTGTACTTCTTCTAACTCTTCTTGTCCCTCGTTGGGATCCATTTTAAAGCCGTCCCGCAACATTTTTATACCAAATATGGCAAACAACGCCGCACTTATATAATGTGTATAAATTCTTGGTATCACTGTAGCTATTGAGCCGAAAGCTGCAGAAAGAATAGTCATAAGTACTAGAGCTGATATTGCCCCGGCGAACACTATAATCCTAGGGTGTTTCATCGCCATGATAGCAGCGATGAAAAATGTTTTGTCGCCTAGCTCCGAGACGATGACCACGGAGAGGGACGCCAGGAAGCCTTTCCAGAAGCTGCCTTGGGCCGTTGTATGCTGAAAAGAGGGAAGCAAATGTTAGATAAACTAATCACTAATGTAAATGCTACTAGCTATTGCCCGCGACTTCGCTCGCGTGATTATTTCTTAATACATGTTTCCGACTTTGAAAACAACGAACTTTCATGCCACCGTTCATACTTTATTGTACCTCCTTAGGAGTGAAATTGACAAAAATCCTTTCTCAGAGAGTGCTTGCAACTTAAAAAAGCATGAGCTCCCAAAATTTCAAGTTTAAAGCGCCAACGGTTTAGGCTCTGCGTTGATGAACCAGTCGTTCATTGTAAGTAATTTTATAATGTTATGTATAGATGTGTTACCAGGTGGTGACCTAAGAAGGAAATCCCAAAAACCTTCCATCGGGTCCCTAAAGACAATAGCAGACTTCTTTTTACAACCACCTGGTATTTCCTAACCTATATGTTGTAAGTGACATAGGAAGCACTCTATTGAATACTTTAATAACGCTTTCTACCTACATTGTGAGGAATTAACTTAAACTTAAAAAATAATAACTCATATCGATATCATAATTATTTAAACAAAGTTCACTATATTATGTAACAAAGACTTATTAAAATTATCCATATTGCGTTGAATCAATTATACATTTTAGCACATAAATTTAATAATGACGATAATATCAAACAGCAGATACACATTCGATCACACCGTCCGGTCATATGGATTTGTTAACATTTCCTTTTGAACATGTATTTACTTGGGTAATAATTGAATTTCCTTTAGCTCGTACTTGCCTACCTGTCATATTTTCTAAAGAATCTGCAAAAAATATATATTTTATAAAGGTTTTGAAAGGCTATAGTCACCGTAGACCATAACAGGGACTATAATATGGTCCCTTTAAAGGTCGATTTAAGAAAAGATTTTATTTTTTCGGTAAACTATAATAAGAAAGTTGATGTGAGTATTGGTTTTGTTAAATATATGAGACTTACTTCATACGTGAAGTTTCCTACAATTAAACTGAATCAATGAGGGAATCTTTCTTTCTAATGAGTTACAACTGATGATCCAACAGCCACTGTGATTTGTTAATGTTATCACGAAGCGTACCTATATATTTTAAGTGCCTTGAGAATAAATATGTCAATTGATGAATTATAAAAGTTACATTACAATAAATAAGATCTTGCAAAAAAAATGCATCAGTACCGAAATCAATTAACCGAAGCTGTCATGCATGATACCCCAGATTCATTTCAGCGGCTAAGGCTGCTACACTTCATGAACTCCTCACGGACACGAATACGGAAAAATACCGGATTCTAATGCAGATCAGTTAACAGCTCCGTAAGCGAGCACATTCGTTGTAATCTGCCGTATCTATGTACCGTATATTTGTACAGGCTTTGTTGTACTTCAAAGTTTATTGCTGATAATAAAAGATAGTCTAAAATAGTTACAAAGTATTTACTTAAGATGGAGAAAACATATTATAGAAGCAATATAAACAGAGGAACTTAGCATTTTCGATTCACATTATCTGTTTTAAGAATTACCCAGTTTTTATTTTTTTGTGCCAAAATCCGCTACCCTAGGGGGAGCCAAGAGTTTTTAACCGTAATTTTGTGGTTATATTTTGGTTTTAAACGTCGGGATAAGACAATGTGACTCTAATAGTGCAGAGCTATCAACACACAGAACAAAGTAGACCATTTTCTTTGAGCATGATGTACTTTCATTTTCATTCGTTGAACGTTCAATCGTTCATGACGAAATTCACGAAATTCAAATGGAAAAACTATAAGTATTTCTATTAAATATAATAATAATGGGTTAGAGAGATTTGTCAAAACTACGTTTATAATTATTTGTAACTATTTACTTTATGAATTACTCTAGTGTTTTGTTAACGAGATAAGCGAATTACGTACTAATGATGTTTATGGTGGTGTAATAATATGCTCCCTGTTACTACGAGTACTTTCTCGACTAATAATATTAAAGTGGTAGATTGTGATGTAATTTGGTTGTAAGTGTTTTAACATTATTTGTATACACTGTGTATTAATAGCACAAATCCATGTATTTATGCAGTCTGTACAGGCTACTCCTGAGACAGGTGAGACGTATGAAATGTCACTATACTATGCCATTATTGGGACTGTCATCTTCCTGAACTTTAGTCAATTTTATTTAGGGTCAGCGCGTCAAAATTGCCTACTTTCTTTAGGAATTTAATCGGTTTAAGACGGGGCAAAGGAAAACACCATAGCCAGGGTCGCGTACCCTAATATTTGGCCTGTGTTTAGAAAGGCCTCTAAGAAAGGAACATTAACATCATCCTTATTGCTATATTTTTTTTTATAATAAAAGTTACCTGTCTAATAGAAAAGAATAATATATTCTTTATTGTACAACAATTACAATATGTTAGATAAATAATAATGATTACAGACGGATATGTACAATGGGCGGCCTTATCGCTGAAAGCAATCTCTTACAGACAGCCTTTGGATGGACAAATCGACAGTTGATGAGAAGAAACAATGGGTAGTCTAGGTGTATTGAAGCTACAGTAGTGTAGAAAAAATATATAAATTATATATAACTATACAAACACATCATCAACAGCCTTTACTAGTCCACTGCTGGACATATGCCTCTCCTTAGAAAGGAGGTTTTGGCCTACTATCCCACGCTGGGCAGACGGGTTCGTATAGGATTTGTGTCAAGTTTTATTTCTCTTTGCGGTGCTGTTATCCTGCGTAGTTTGCTCCCTTAATCGGCTCTTACGACACCCACGGTAAGAATAGGAGTGGTGACACTCTGTATTCTTAATTCGTCACCACACGGACAGATAGATACATACATATACAATATACATATTATATAAATAATATTTTCAATATAGATAACCATGAAATCATTTAGTCATGTACAGTTATTGAAAGCAAAGAGTAGGTACTCAAGAACCTAAGTAGTGATATTTGACCATATTCTTAAATGTTGTCAATGTTTATGCACGTCTTATGAATATCGGCAAGGTTTTCCATAATCTGACAGCCTGCACTGTGAATGACCTCTCTAACGAACATTATACATACATATATGTATAACCTAATTGATTTCTCTAGTGAGTTTGTTTATTTGGCACCCATTCGCGATTTTTAATATTCAACTGTACTATGAAATTAAGCATACACTGTAAGTTTTGTATTTTTTTTGTAATAAATAATGACATACTTTTTAAACAAAGAAAAATCAACTTCCTTATTGTAAAACTGCAAAGAGAAGGAAAACTTGAAACAAACCCTATACTCTATACCAACCCGTCTGGCCAGCGTGGTATAGTAGGCCAAAACCTCCTTTCTAAGGAGAGGCCTATGTCCAGCAGTGGACTGTTAACGGCTGTTGATGATAGTAAAAATGATGTTACATTAATTCACCGACGTTTGTTATCATTATGCTCAAGAATCTACTATAATCTATAAGATTTACTTTAACTGGGTGGTAACTGTTATTGTCTGTAAAAAAACAACTAATAAATTGTGAAAAAGAACATCATAAACGCCACACAATAAAACATCATAAAAGTTGAGCAAATCTCTTTATGCTTCTGTAGACTAAAGAAGACAGATAAAAAAATCCCGTGTGCACTGTCCCTTACTTTTATTGAAAACAAGAAAAATGCTGTTGAAGGACTAATGTAAAAAAATTACTAGGTATAAGACGGCCTTATAACGAAGTGAGACCACGATATTAAGGCCGACTAGTAATAACAAGTATCACCCGTTTATGAGTATAGTACAAATACCATAAACATACCCACATATTAAACTCTTTAACATTCCTTGGTTATATGAAAGGTAACATATACACATATGTACGAGTATATTGCATAAATATGTATATAAAACTTCACAGGACATCACCTCACCGAGGTCAACAGCAAGGTGGTATATCAGACTAGAACCGACTACTAAAAGCTCAAGTTGCGGTTTTCGTCACCGCACCCTTAGTTCTATTACAGTATATCGAGTTTGATGGTACACACAAATCTTTTGAAACAATTAATGAGATTTGGTTTGTTGTTATTTTGGTTTAGTGGTCCTTAATGCTAAACCTAAGGGAAGTAAGTTAGATTCCCGCCCGTAACGAATAATTGTGTGATGAGCACTATCATTGATTCTATGCCTGTATGCAATTTTTCAATGTGCTTAGAAATAAATAGGTATGTTTATCAGCAGTTTGGTTACTATAGTATATGCTCTGCCCAGTTTAGGATCAGATGGCCGTAGGTAGAAAGTGTATTGTGAATTGGTAATAATTTCTATATATCATTAAGTGAATTGGTATAATAAAAAAAACAACTATACATGTGTTTAGCAATATATAAATTACATGTTAATTAATTCCATTACCGAAAATTATTAAACTCAATACAGTTACGAGTAGTACAAGACTAGAGTTGAGTAAAACATGTAATACATTTCAATCAATGAGTCGACAAGTATCTTTAGCAATAAAAATACCTTGACTATTAATTGTACCTATCTATGGCACAACATTAGGTAATACGTAGTATTTACACAATCTATAGTATTGATACTACTATTAGTAATAAGTGATACACATAAATATAAAATATTTATTAATAATATCGAAAGTTGAAAAATACCGTTGCGTTCTTCTGAGAAGTTAAGGACACCTATGTCCAACAGTATGACATAACACAGGACGTGTTAATCCGCGATATTGTTATTATTACCTCCTTTCTAAGGAGAGGCCTATGTCCAGCAGTGGACTAGTCTAGGCTGTTGATGTGATGTGATTGTCAGGATTTTTGTCTCGCTACGGGTAAAAAATATCTAGAACGTAACATACAGTAGTATTTTTAAAATCCTATAACTGAGTAATTGTATCTGCTAAAAAACTTAGCAGATACACGCGTTAAGCTGCAGTGAACTTCTTCTACTAAGCAGGTACACTTAGTATCTGCTAAAAAAAACCGGTCAGGTACGAGTCGAACT